GCTACTGGGGCTACCCAATTTTATTAAATTGACGTCATTGAGGAATCACAGTGTAAGGTGATGTTAAAAGCCAATGATTCTTAAGCAAAGCATTTGGAGAATATATACGCATTATATGAAGAGGGATGAGGGGGCTCAAGGAGGATGAGTGGGGTGCAGACAGACAACAAAAGATGGGGGTTCATGAGAGTGTTTCAACCTTCCAACCTAGTTATAAACTGGAACAGTGCAGATCTGCTAGGAGCCTGGCAACGGGATTATGATGATACTGTGCCTGGCTGGTCCATGAAGTGTCAAGCCGTATGTAACATTCCAATTCTTTCAATGGCCGTCTTTTAGAAAAACTAGGATGCCATATTTCACAGACCATAAATCTTCATACCATAAAATTCACCACTTAAGAATATACAAATAGGGGATCCCTGGGTGGCGCAGCGGTTTGGCGCCTGCCTTTGGCCCAGGGCGCGATCCTGGAGACCCGGGATCAAATCCCACGTCGGGCTCCCGGAGCATGGAGCTTGCTTCTCCCTCTGCCTGTGTCTCTGCCTCTCTCTCTCTCTCTCTCTCTGTGACTATCATAAATAAATAAAAATTAAAAAAAGAATATACAAATAAATTATTTTAGTATTGAATCAAATGTTCGATAGGTTCAAAGCAAAGCAGGCTCTGTGAAAAGGGACTCAACATCAGATCTGGACTATGAAGTGGACCTTAAGTTCCTGTTTTATGGAATTGTATAAAGTTATGATAGATAGAGAAATCTGCGTGCAGAAACTCTGCACTGCATTTGCAAACCAAGGCTATTTGGGCATGTCAGGTTTCTGATAATCTATGATTTTAGGTTATCATGAATAAGGAAGATGGATGTTAGGCATTTCCAGTGCAATGTGTCCTTGGATAAAATATTTCCTTCTGCTAGCTTTGTATCTGGCTTTATCTATGTCTCTTATTCCAGCTTGATGAATGGCTAGGCAGATTTTTACATTCCTAGCCTGAGCTAATTTTTACTTTCTCAGAGTAAAAAAAGGCAACTCAGAGCTTCCAGTCTGGTGGAGCCTCTAGAGGACTCGGTTCCAGCTGCCATCTGACAGCAGCTGCAGGAGAGACTGAGATGAGGAGAATCAGCTGAGCCCCACCAACCTGCAAAGCTGGAGGAGAGAGGTCTTGTCTTTAGCCCCTAAGTTTGGGGATGGTTTGTTATACATAAATAGATTACTGAACCAGTCATGCTTGAAGAAGACACCCCCCACCCCACCCCCTGCCACCCCCGCCAATGAGATGATCCTGAAGGAAGAAGGAAATGGGAGAGGAGTGAACCTAAGATAGATGAAGCACTTAAAAGAGACTGAGGGTTACCCTCTGGTGAGATGTCAGAGAGCAGCTACCTATGGGGGGGTGGAGGTTCACTGGGAAGGGCATGAGGGAGCCCTCTGGGTTGCTGGACATGCTGTATATCTTGATCTGGCAGTGGTCATGCGGAGGCATGCTATATACACTTAAGGTAACAACTAGAAGCTCAAGCTGATTTCTATTATAGGGAATAAAAATTAACCAATGCTGGTGAAATATATACTTGCCACAAACATACTAATAGGTAAAAATAAGACATTAAGACAGATACACGAAGTAAACAAATATTTATGGAGGAGAAAAGTAAAGTTGTGAATTTAAACATGGACTAAGATGCCAAAGAGGATCGTGACTGTGAGCAAAAAATTTAGGAAGAATATAAAATTCCAAAGTTCCAATATTCAGAATTCCAATTTTCTGAATTAAATTAAAGAAGTAGGCTGTACCCTCTTCAAGGTCAGGTCCTTGGAATTAGAGATGGAAGGAAGCTCTGAAACCGTCTTTCCCTAGTTCTCCAACTGGGCTACACACGGGGATCACTTGGGAGCTTTTGAAATATTGATGCCTGGGCCCCACCCCAGAGATTCAGACGGATTGTGCTAGGGTGTGGCCCAGGAGTCAAGATTTTTAAGATCCCCAGGTGATTTCTGTATGCTGCCAGGATTGAGAACCACTGGTCAATTTCAACCGCTCTTTTCACAAATGAGAACAGAGGCCCCAATACTGACAAATGGCTTGCAAAATATCCATTAATTGGCTGAAGCCAATTTTCTCTGATGTGCCTTAATAGGAGAGAGCTGTAGCATGGATAATACCAAACAGTGAATAATCTAAAAATAATTTCTATTTGGTTTGGGAAAGCGGCACGTGACTTCCCGGCCACCTACTGGTCTGGCTAATTCAGTTTGGCTCAAATGAATGTGCCTTTTCCTGAGTTTACACTGACAGCCCTGGCCTGTGCTGAGGGGTGGAAGGAAAGCAGCCAAACTAAATACTGACCATGGTCAGCTCCCCAGCTGTCCAAAGCACACAGTAACTATACAGATGTGGAGACTTCTCTTACCAGAAGATTCCACAAAGGGACAAAGCTAGGTTTTTCCTGACCCTTTGTTCTGGGAGCATTAGGTGCCTAAAGCGTGAAGAGGGAGTGAAGGATGAGGGGCTATTGGCTGTCAAGGGGCATTTCTGTGCCAGGTTTTGTGCTGTGCATTCCTTAACAGCATATGCTCCAGACAATGCTATGAGTTAGGCATTCTATTATCACCATCTAGAGATGAGGAAACTGAGACTTAGATTGTATAACCACCAAAGCAGAGCCAGGACAGAACCTCAGGCTTATACTCTGTCCAAGGGGGACAGTTGAGGCCTCAAGCTGAAAAAACAAGCCGCAGATGGACTTGGGTCTGATCCTTGGATTTATTGCACTGCTGAACAGACATTGTCTCCCTATTTTTCTGCCCAAATAGTGTAAAGGGAGCAGTAAAGGGACCTCCTCCAGATGTGCCTATGGCAGCCATGAGGAGCCAACTGCCAGGATCCCCAGCTGCTGCTCTCTGAAACCCATCACCTGATCTGAGCCAAGCTCATCTCCCAGGCACCAGGCTGCTCTTCTTCAATGCCTGTGCCTAGTAAGATATGAAGGAGGCCTGTTCCTGGGAGACATGGGACTGTGACAGAAGCTTTGCCAAATCTTCCTCAGACTGCAGGCATCAGAGGTGCTTCCACCCCACCTTGCCTCCCAGTGTCAGGTCTGCATGGCAGTCTGATGGCCCTCTCAGCCTTTTCCTGTTCTTTCCCTGTTTTCTCTCATACAGGTGGTTCCCTGAATAAAACCTTCTGGAGTATTTAATCCCATGCAATGTCCCTCCCCACTGGTGCCCCCAACCATGTACACATCATTGTAAGGAGGAAAAGTCACCCTCTGCTGACTCTTCTCAGGGATCATGGTCTGAGATCGTGAAGGTGAAGACTACAGAGGAACAGGTTTCTCAGTATGTCTGCCCTCGTCATTGGTCTTTGTGCCACGAAGGAAGATAAACCAGGAGACAAATGATTGACCAGCACCCCAACTAGCCCTAATTCATTTGCCAAGAAGTTACCTTTTATTGCAGGTGTCCACAAGCACAAAGGCCAACTTAGAAAGGCTAGGGATTCTTCTCTGACTTTACACCCTTCAGGGAAGACATTCAAACCCTGCAGGCTCAGGAACTCCTTGTAGGGAGATTTTGTCATCTTTTGCTCCTCCTGAAAGAAGAAAGCAGACAAACCATATGCTGATTCTCAAACACCTAGAACGAAAGTGGTGCATATCCAGTCACCAGCATCATTTAGCGTTGTTCTAAAAACACCCACAAAGGCCCCCAGATAAAAGAAAGGAAGAAGAGGTGTTTCTTTTTAAAATTATTATTTTTTAAGTTTGTATATTAATTCCAGTTGGTTAACATATAGTGCTCTATTAGTTTCAGGTGTACCATTCAACAATTCCATACAACACAACACCCAGTGCTCATCAGGATGAGTTCCCTCCTTAATCCCTATCCCTTATTTCACCCATCTCTCTCTTCTACCACTACCCCTTCCCCTCTGGTAACCTTCAGTCAGTTATCTATGAAAGGAAGGAGACGTTTAAGAGAATTCATCTAGGCATGAAATTAAATACACAAAATATGCAAACAATAACTTACTATAAACATAGTAGAACAACTCACTTGCAATAGCACAAAACAGATTAATGTCTAGGAAAAAATTTACCAAAATTGTGCAAGGCTAATATGAAAACTTTAAAATTCCATTGAAGGACAAAAACACCACCTTCAAAAATTCGAAGATTTAGCACTGAATAGAAACAATACTTTAGGATTCAATTCTCCAAATATCATGAGTATTTCATATATTCATTTAATTGCATTCTGTCTTTTTGTGTAATTCTGATGCTTTGACACCAGGAACCTCGCTGACTGACCCTGGAGGGACTGGCCCTCCCAGGTTAGCTAACTCCTAGAAAGAGCAAATAAAACTCTCCTTCCATAGGCAAACCAACGGATGGGGGGCCCAAATTCCCAACCGCCCTCTTTATCACAGTCTGTGTGGGCTCTCACAATCCTCTACCCTCCTGCCCTAATTACCACAGAGCCACACACCCAATCACTGGGGCGCCCCTGAACTCCAGAGCCCTTGGAAAGTATTCAAACTGGCCAATCCTAAATCTGTTTACTGTGCATCACCTCTTTTCTTGCTGAGGAGATCCCCATAAAGGCTTCAGCACACTAATTCCCTCTCTATGCCTGAGACCAACCTCAGTGCCTTCTTCTGTGGCCTTGTGTGGTGCATTCTCATCTCAGGAACTGTAAGAAAATATCTTTTCAAGACAATTGTCTCCAGATCTGTTGGCCTTACTGAACCTCAACTTTTTCTTAGTACACGGTTATTTCAAAGCACATTCTGGATTTTTGTGTGTGTGCTAGTGAAGTGAATATGCAAAAACAAGTGAAGAAAACCATGAAAATTCTGAAGAATGACAATGTAGGTATGATGGTGGGGAGGGAGATAGATGGAGTGGCTGGTGAAGGACAAGGAGGCAGGGAAGGCACTGTGTTATGAAATGGTTTTATGAACGTAGTGGGTATAAATTTCAGTTCAAGACACTCAAGTGTGAAAGAAATATTTATTTTTAGCAATTCAACTCAATTTTATCCTCCATTTGGCCAGGGTGGAAACTAAATTCAGTCATGTCAGGGCCTCATTGGCCCCCAACCACCTTCTTCCACACTGCTCTAAGAACCATTGGGCTTATCTAATACCCAGGCATCAGGGATGGGTTTCTGATTCTTGGTAGCTCATGTATCCATGGTGCATCCTTGTTGGGAGGCTGTTTGCTGCAGCTTTTGTGATCTCAACTCCTCCTGGGTCACCTCCTCTGAAAGAAAATGTCTGTGATGTTTATATTGCTATATGCCATGTAGATGTGGAGTCTTCAGGGGTGAATTTGCAGAGAAGCATGTCAATAGCAGCAAGAAGACACAGGCCCTGGATGATGAGGGGTAGGTGACATCTGGGTACACAGACACTCAGTTGAGTGGGGGAGGGCAATGGGAATTTACTGTGAACATTCTGAGTAGTGACAGAGACACACACACAGGGGGCTGTAGGAGCACAAGGAAGAAGGGCGTTTTCATGGAAGCGATGTCTGTTGAGCTAGATCTTAAAGGATATAGCCGATTTCATATGACAAAAATCAGTAGGTGTACACAGGGCACTGTAATAGTAACAGCATGAGCAAAATTCAGGCTAAGATGAAACCACATCTGATTTCCTGACTCCACCTTCATCAATGGGAGGTGGGGGAGGGGGCTTCCCAGGAATATGCTGGGACCAAGGCATGAGCCACATGACTCTAGATTAACCATTCGATAGACCACAGGTCATTCTAGTCACCGCTGATACAAAGAACAAAATTGTGGATAATGCCATCTTTGTGGAGATTTCCAGGTCTGAGTTAAAATTTAAAGTGTTTCCTTCAGACTTTGAAACTGATGATTCAGGAGTGCCTGGTTGTACCGTTCTCTGCTCCCTAACTGGAGAAAACATTCAACCTGGATTTACCATGGGTTCACTGACTGGCTAGCCTCTCTTCTGGAAAAGGTCTTAGAGGGAAGATCTAAGATAATCCAGTAAAAACCAGTAGTGCAGACAGTGCTGTTTGCCAGATCTGAATCCAAGCAAGGTAGACTTTTATTTGCACCTTATCTATGGGAGGAATTAAAAGGATCATCAATTTCCTTTATCCACATGACTCCATTATTCAGATTAGCAGTAGCAAATGCAACCAGAAAACAGATGATTCAGACTTCTTCTGTAACATTTCTTTTAAAAGATTTTATTTATTTATTCATGAGAGACAGAGAGAGAGAGAGAGAGAGAGAGAGAGAGAGAGAGAGAGAGAGAGAGGCAGAGGAAGAAGCAGGCTCCAAGCAGGGAGCCTGATATGGGATTCGATCCCAGGTCTCCAGGATCACACCCTGGACCAAAGGCAGCACTAAACCCTGAGCCACCTGGGCTGCCCCTTCTGTAACATTTCACTTTCCATTCATCAGAGTCTGTTTTATCAGGGTTTCTCAGTCATAATTACCATGTGGAATTTCACTGGTTTCCAACTTTCCTAATATGTTCATATGAAATACTATCCTAGTCACTCCAAGTTCCTTTGTTTCAGTCATACGGCACTTCTTCACAGGAATACACTGCTTCCCCATTGTCTAGTGAAGTGTTTTGCAAAAGTAAAGGAACAAAAACATTTTTAGATTCCATATTTTCATTTTCCTTTAGTGTGCAAGAATCCTACTAATTCTTTGTAACAGAGTTGAGACTCTTTTTCTTAAAGAAAAATATACTCACTTTACATAATAAGCTGGGCTACTTCAAAGTTGCAAGTGTTAAGCAACCATAGAAAATATCCACTTAGCTATTTCCAAACCTCATGAATTCTCAATTATTATTTTAATCTAAGAAGTCATTTCCCACCCCAGATTCTTAGTTTTCCTAAGTCAAGAAAACCACCCTCGTCTACCAAAGTTCAGTTTTTATGAGACACTTGAGTACTCCACATATTGGATCATTTAAGAGTATTCATTATTTTTTTTTAAGATTTATTTTAGAAAGAGAGAGAGAGCATGAGTGTGAGGAAGGGTAGAGGGCAGACTCCCCACGGAGCCCAGAGCCTGATACAGAGCTCCATCTCACAACCCTGGGATTGTGACCTGAGCAGAAACCAAGAGTCAGATGCTCAATCAACTGAGCCACTCAGGCACCTCTAAGTGTTCATTATTAAACTAGGGGGTGCAAAATGTTTTATCAAAGTAAGTTTGACTATAAACCCATAGATTCATCTTAGAGGGGCTTCTTCAATATCTTATCCTAAGGGAAAATTCTTTTTTTAAAAAAGATTTTATTTGAGAGAAAAAGAGTGTGTGCACACAAGTTAGGGGAGGGGCGGAGGGAGAGGGATAAGCAGACTCCCCACTGAGCACAGATCCCACCGTGGGGCTTGAACCCACAACCCTGAGATCCTGACCTAAGCTGAAGTCAGAAATGACTGAGACACCCAGGTACCCCAGGGAAAACTGTTATAAGGAGACTAATTTCAAGGTATTACTTTTACAAAATAAGCAGTCAATGGACAGTGTCATCAGTGTTTCTGGATTAATCTGGTCTTCATATGCTCAGACTGACCTCTGCTGGATAGTCTACTAACATGTCAACACTTTTTCCCCTCTTGAACAAGTATTTTCCCCAAATTATATTGGTATTTAGATTTATATAGTTCAATTCATGAATACTTTTCATATATTCCACACTACTTTACAGCCACCAGAGGCAACCACACATGGGCAGAGTAGGAGGACACTAATGAGGTTTCTAGGAGCTACCCATTATCAACACTCCTTTTAATATTCTTTATGCCTCATGTAGCCTGGGCTCTCTAGGATGTATCTCAGAAATACATAAGAGTATCTGCTGTCTGGACCCAGTTTCAAGGGCCCACTGTTTAAAACCACAACTCCCTGAAAATATCTCCTGGACGGACATCTCAAAGCTGGAGTCTACTCTGTAGAAGTCACTTATGCCCCTATAGCCAAAGGAGGTAAGTCTGATGTGTATGGTGCAAACCTGCTGAACTTTGAGATAAAGTCCTGCTCCAAAAACAAAAAAAAAAAAAAAAAAAAAAAAAAGTCCTGCTCCAATTCATATAAAATTGCAGATAATAAACAAGAATGACAGTGAAAATAAATGATACTTTCAAGAAAATAATGCCTTTCTGATAAAAATTACATAATTACTTTCATTTAAAAGTTTTATAAAATAAAGAAAAAAATAGAGGAAATAAAAATTACTTATAACTCCATCACCAAGTTATATTAAAATTTTGGTTTTGGGCAGCCCGGGTGGCTCAGTGGCTGAGCATCTGCCTTCGGCTCAGGGCATGACCCTAGAGACCTGGAATCGAGTCCCAAGTCGGGCTCCCTGCATGGAGCCTGCTTCTCCCCCTGCCTGTGTGTCTGCCTCTCTTTCCCTCTGTATCTCCCATGAATAAATAAATAAAAATCTTAATAAATAAATAAAAATAAAATTTTGGTTTTGTTATGGCCATCTTTTATTTTTTTCCATGTATGTACGTGTGCACCTGTAGGTGTATACTCTGACCTGTATCCATCCATTTGGTAGTTTGTCTTTTTCACTTGTATTATACTGATCATTCCTCCATTTACACATACCCTTTAGCATAATTTTTATGAGGTCGACAGATTATAACATACATAACCATTGTCTAGTTATTAAACACTGGCATTGTTTCTAAACTATGCTGAATGGCCTTATATATAAATATATGACCAAATATTTTATTTCTTTAGGATACACTCTCCAAACAGGATCACTGAGTCAAAAGTTATGGCGTATGAACATTTTTAAGATTCCAGATACTAGCACTGCTAGAATTACTCTCTGAAAATGTACCAATTTCAACTTCCACCACAGCACACAGCACCATCTTCATTTACCCTCACTGAGAATTCTAATTTTAAATGGATAAGCAAAAATAAGGGTTTTCAGTCTAACTTATACACTCACATTTATTCATATTCATTCATATTTATACTCACTGAATTTTTAAAAAATATTTTATTTATTTATTCATGAGAGACACAGAGAGAGAGGCAGAGACATAGGCAGAGGGAGAAGCAGGCTCCCCACAGGGAGCCAGATGTGGGAATTGATCCCAGGACCCAGGGATCATGACCTGAGCCAAAGGGAGACACTCAACCACTGAGCCACCCAGGTGCCCCTGTATTTTTTCTTTTAATTACCCATTCATGCCCTTTGCTCATTTTTCTACAAGTATATTAGTATTTTTCTTATTTATAAAAGTTTTTTTTTTTTATATATTAAGGCTACTGACTTTGTTGATCTCAGTGTGGTATACACAAACTAGGTCTGCTAATCCAAACATACCCTGAAATTATTAGTTTGGGTATAGTATGACTTTTCCTTTGGCTCAGTAAGTTCTTTCCAGAAAAGCAAAACAAACCCCAATTCATAAAGTACAGAACAAGCCCATTAAATACTAGAGAGTCTAAGGTACAAAGTGATCAACAGATAAACTATCTGAAATAGCCTATGTAGTCCAGCTTACTGAACATATCTCACACTAAAAAATTGAGAATTTTCTCCTCAGAAGATGTTTTTTAAAAAATATGTGATTTTGGGGTGCCAGGGCAGCTCAGTCGATTAAGCATCCAACTCTTGATATTGGCTCAGGTCATGATCTCAGGATCCTGAGTTTAAGCCTTGCCTCAGGCCCTGAGCTCAGTGGGGAGTTGCTTGAGATTCTCTCTTTCCTCTCTCCCTGCCCCTCCCCCTGGCTGGGCACACTTTCACTCTCTAAAATAAATAAATAAATCTTTATTTTTAAAAAATGTGACTTTAAGAATGGATTTATGTAAAAGAATACTGATGTGAAATTAGCAGTCAGGCAGTTATAATGCTATTATTTAATAAAGCCCTCTTCTTTCATCTGTAAATGGGTTATCTCTATGGTAGAACACTTGTAACTTTTTCTGTTTTTAGTCAATTTCTTTACTATAAAATGTCATTTAGGAATTTTTTCATTTTTCTTTGTACCATAATTCTAACACTTTAGTAACTGCTGTGGAAAATAAAATTGTCCTTTTTTTTTTAAATTCTGTCTTGTAAGAAAGAGAAAACTCCTCAAGACCACTCTCTGGCATCTTTATTTACATATTAGAGCGGGTCAGCCAGTGAAAATCCTAGAAAAAGAAAAGACAACAAACATTCAGTTAAAAGAATCAATAGTCTCAAACTATATCCTCACTGTTTTCTTTGTTCTAAAACCTCAAAGTCCCATTATAACCACATTTACCATAATGGTGGTTAATGAAGTTTGTCTTTGGTCTTTTCCCAAAAAGAAGCTAAAAATTCATAGTGAATCTTGCTGTCTTGTCCTACAAAACAACTAACAGTAATCAGAGCCACAAACACTACAGTTGGAAAGAATCAGAAGGAAATTCAAAAGAAGAAAGGAGACAAAGGAAGGCCAAAGAGGGCAAGCTACCAAATCTAAGAACCTGAGTAGGAAGAAGAGCGCACAGAGCCTTTCCTAGGACTAACGCCACTCTACACATGTGGCCTGGACATGATGACTGCAGAGATTAGGTCCTCTCTATATTATAGCAGGAAGCAGTCAGCCTACCCTACACTGCAAATCAACAACAAACGGCAAATGGACACACATACAATGAAAATAATATCTTGGAAGGTGGAGTTTACTAGAATGATAAATAATGTTGAAGTGATAGATTCAAGAAATATAAGGATAATTCTTATGGAGTTATAAGAGAGGACATAAGAACTTGTATTTCTGCAGCAATACCACCAAAATTCATAGAGAACTGGGAGAACAGATCATTAGAAGCAGATCATTAGAAATGTGAATTCACTAGCAGAGAGGGGACAATTCATTAGGGCTTTTCTGTGACTACCACAGTCCCTAAACTGTCTGGTGTGTGTGTGTGCGTGTGTGTATGTTCAGAATATATGTTTTTTTGTTTTTTTTTTTTAAATTGGTTTCTAGAAAGGCAAATCACGCTCCGGGACACAGAACGAGTTAGTCCCAGTTCAGTTACTGGATTTAGCTCAGTGAACATAGTAATGTGCTTGATCCCCAAAGCAGACAAACACAACTCTTGGCTCCTTATTTTATTTTTTTTTTTTATTTATGATAGTCACACAGAGAGAGAGAGAGAGAGAGAGGCAGAGGGATAAGCAGGCTCCATGCACTGGGAGCCCGACGTGGGATTCGATCCCAGGTCTCCAGGATCGCGCCCTGGGCCAAAGGCAGGCGCCAAACCACTGCGCCACCCAGGGATCCCCCAGAATATATCTGTTAAATCCACCTGACTTAATGCGTTTAAGGCCAATATTTCTTACTGATTTTATGTCTAGATGATCTATCCATTGATGTTAGTGGTATATTAAAATTCCCTATTTTAATCTATTATTGTAGTACTATTTCTTCCTTTAGCTCTGTTAATATTTGCTTTATGTATTTAGGTGCTCCTAAATTATGTGCTTAAATATTTACAAATGTCATACCTTCTTTTTGGACTAAATGCCTTATCCCTATGTAGTGTCCTTCTTTGTCTCTTATTACAATCTTTGTTTTAAAGTCTATTTTGTCTGATATAAATATAGCTATTCCAGCTTCCGTTAGGTTTCCATTTGCATGGATTATCTTTTTTCATCCCTTCACTTTCAGACTGTATGTCCTTACATCTGAGGTGAGCCTCCTGTATACAAAACATAGATAGGTCTTGTCTTTTCCATTCAGCCACTATTTTGATTGGAGCATTTAGTCTATTTACACTTAAAATAATTACAGATAAATATATACTTATTGCCATTTTGTTAATTGCTTTCTGGCTATTTTGTAATTCTGTTCTGTTCCTTTCACCAAATTCTCTGACATCTGGTTTTTCGTTTTTTTTTAAAGATTTATTTATTTCAGAGAGAGAGAGTATGCGTGAGCAGGGGGAAGAACAAAGAGAGAGGGAGAGAAGCAGACTCCCTTCTGAGTGCAGAGCCCTATATGGGGCTCGATCTCAGGACCCTGAGATCACGATCTGAGCTGAAATCAAGAGTTGGATGCTTAACCCACTGAGCCACCCAGGTGCCCCTCTGGTATCTGTTTTTATAGAAGTAGAATTTTTATTCTTATGAACTATTTTTTTAAGATATTATTTATTTATTTGAGGGAGAGAGAGAGAGAGAGAGAGACAGAGAGAGACGGCAAGCACAAGCAGAGGGAGAGACAGAGGGAGAGAGAAAGACAGAAGCAGACTCTCCCCTGAGTGGGAAGCCCAATTCAGGACTTGATCCCAGGCCCCTAGGATCATGGCCCGAGCTGAAGCCAGATGCTTAACTGACTGAGCCACCCAGGCACCCAGACAAAAATAGAATTTTAGTAGAGTTTTATGTACTTTATAGTTTCCAAATTAGTTAATTTACATTTAACTGATTGTCCAGGCATCCATTTGCCTACTGGTCTACTACCTTATTCAAAAAGAAAAAAGATCTTGCAGCCTATATATGTATAAGGAACCAAGACAGAAACTTCTTGAAAAAAATGATCTGCTCTGAAAACAGCAGCTGATACACAAGGTATAAGTAAGGAAGACAGATAGAGAAGAGAGGGCAACTGGCAGGACCAGGATCAGAGCACAAAATTCAATATGAAAAGCAACTTAATCTGGCATGGGACAGGATCATGTTCCATGCTGTGGCATTTATTTTACTGCTATAATCTTCACTGTAGTTTTGTTACAGAGGAGAGAGTAACCAATATTGAACATAACTATACATATCTTCCCATTACAGTCTTATCTGCCCACTGTGCTTCCTCTACATTCTGCCTTTCAGCCCCTCTGGCCCTCTTTCAGTTGCTCAGGCTTGCCCTGCTCCTTGCTGCCAGAGCCTCTGCACATCTCTTCCCTAGCCTCTTTGCTTGAGACTGACCCTACTTATCTTTCAGATCTCAGCTTAAGCATCAGTTCCTCTGAAACGACTTCCCCTGTGACTCCAGTATAAATCAGATTCCTTAGTAGTATATTGGTTCAGAATTAGGTGGCTTCCCTCAGAGCAACTGCCTCATTCTGTTGTGATGCATCAGTTGTGAGGTAAGTAGGCTGTTCCTTTCCCCTACTGGTCTCTAAGCTCCACTACATGAGGGCTGAGTTCAGGTTTGCTCATCATGCTATTCTTAGCAAGTAACAAAGTACACCTAGTGCATACCTTCACAAATACTGAGAAAATACAAGAAAGTGCCAAACTCAGAAATGGTTTAGAAAGAACTCTGAACAGAGTTCACAAATACACTACAATGAAAGAACTCTGGGAATAGAGTGTTTCATTTTCTAGATACTTCTGGGGAGGGGATGGGTGATGCATTTCTGATTTCTGCTTAACAAATGAATTTACCTGGGCCTTCCGTGTGGCTTGCGGCTCAATCATGATATTGATCAGAGAAGGTTTAGTTGTGTCTGCCAAACTCTCCCTCAGTGATTTTTGGAGTTCTTCTGGTGTTTGTACAAAATACCCTTTGCCTCCAAACGCAGTCATAACCTGCTCATAATGTGAGTTTGGCAGAAGACAGACTGGAGGAGCCCTAAAAAAAAGGTAGTAAGTCAAAGAAAAAAAAAGTCATTCTCTGGAATAATTTGTGGAAAATTTTAGGCTGAACTGAAAGGCATACTTTTATATTCAACACTTAAAGATGCCAGTATACTAAACTTTCCACATATAAATATTTTTTAGAGATTATTTATTTTAGAGGAGGGGAGGGGCCGAGGGAAAGGGAGACAGAATCCTCAAGCAGACTCCCTGCTGAGCATAGTGCCTGATGCAGGGCTCAATTCCAGGACCCTGAGATCATGACATGAGCTGAAATCAGTCGGACGTCCTACTGACTGAGCCACCTAGGTGTCCCTAAACTTTCCATACATTTTTATTGTCTATACAACAATGTTTAATAGGACTTTTTGTGATAGAAATGGTTTATATTTGTGCTATCCAATAGAGCAGCCACTAGCAACCTGCTGCTGTGAGCACTTAAAATGTGACTAGTTAAAATAAGGAACTGACTTTTTAATTTGACTTAAATAGCCCTGGGACATCTGGGTGGCGCAGTGGTTGAGTGTCTGCCTTTGGTTCAGGGTGTGATCCCAGGATCCGGGATCAAGTCCCACATCGGGCTCCTTGCAGGGAGTCTGCTTCTCCCTCGGCCTGTGTCTGTGCTTCTTTCTCTCTCTGTGTCTCTCATGAATAAATAAATAAAATCTTAAAAAAAAAAAATTTAAATAGCCCCATATGGCTACTGGCTACTATACTGAACAGTGCAGGCTACACCATCAACTACTATGAGCCCAAAAGAAAAAGAAGAAAAAAGGAATGGCTACTGCAATACAGCAAAAAGCAGCAAAGTGAGAAATGAAGTCAGTGAGACATAAGCAAACATACTCATACCCTGCTCTACTCCTAGACTGACTCACAAATTCACATCTCATACCCCATGGCCAGCTACAATACTGCCTCACTTTGACTCCGCCATCAGATAAGCAAGAGTTTGTTAAATAATAAAAAGAAGGAAGACCCCTGGATCATAAATAATATGTTAACATCCATTTCCTCCATAGTGTAGTAGGAATAGGACCAAGAGCATTTTGCAATAAACCCTTTCATTAACAAACCTTAGACATCAAACTTAATTGACTGAGTCTTCCATGGCTTCCCGATCATAAATTATTGAAACACCCCATCATGTACTGGGTGTTATATGTAAGTGATAAATCACTAAGTTCTATTCCTGGAACCAATATTACACTATATGTTAACTAACTAGAATTTAAATAAAAATTTGAAAAGAAAAAAGAAAATGGAAAAAAACTGAAGCACCCCATCATGGATGGTTGTACAAAGAGGAGCCACACAGACAGGGTTCCTGCCCTTTAGAGGGGCTGACAATAATAAGTAAACAAATACTTGACAAAAAAAGCACATTCCAGTACAGCAGATTCCTTAAGGAAATATTAAAATAAGTGAGAGAAATTAAATACACATTGTTCTGGGTTACTTACACTTCAGTAGCATCTCCAAATTTTAACATTTCCTTCCAAGTATCTGCATCAAAACCTTGGTAAATTCCATTATTATTCACCACCAAAAGTACAATGGGCAAGTTGTACCTAAAATTGGAAGCAAAATATCAAGGAAATCATTTGTCATTCTAAAGCAGTGTCTTTTCTTCAGGCTGAAATTTTAACTTGAAAATGGATTATTTTCCATTAACTTTTTTGTAATATTGAAGACTAAAAATTAAGTATTTGTTATCCTAATAAGGAACATCAAGCCATTAATAGAAACATGGAGTCAAGGAAAGGATTAAGATTAGAGGTCAGTACACTCGGTTCTACCACTATGCATCTATGGACTCCACTGAGCTTTACAGAACCCTGGTTTTCTGAACCCTGGTTTTCATGACACCTTCCATATTTAACACTCTCTGAAGAACCACTTCTAGGTGATGCCTACGAGTACTATTTGAAAAGTATCTTTCTTTTTACTGAACTCCTCATAGATAACCAGCACTTGCTAGATATTGTGGGACTATACAAGTGACTAGCATACATTCTCTTCTCTTAAACCACTTCACTCAAAATTAGGAAAAACATTATGTGGTGCAATAAACAGAGAACAAGAGAATATTTAATAATGTGCTAAATGTAAAGACAAAAAAAAGGATGATAAAACTTTACTAATGACAAAAGGATGATAAAACTTTACTAATGACTGACAAAAGGATGATAAAACTTTATTAATGACTGACAAAAGAACAAAAGAACTTTATTTTCTACACACCTAATTTCTGAGACCAGGTGTAAAAACAAAACTGTTACATAATAGGATTCTGTTACATAATAGGATTGTGGTAACTACTTGCTCTCCATGCTCAAAAGGGAATCATGACTCTCTAAGATGGATGGCTTTCCCATAAATCATCTTTTTGGTGTGTATTACTTGAATGTCAATAGAGACACTCAAACAAGCACATGCTTTATTTCTGGTCTTTAAAGTGCTATATGCCAAAGCTTTGAAAGCCCTAAAACATGATTACCCAAAAGTTCTAAAAAGAGCCCTGGCTAAGAATATAGAATGATTTTACTAGTTTAAATAACCAGGGAGAAAAAAAAATCCCCATACTTGTATAGTAGGATCTTTGGCTCACGAGTTTCTCCATGAATCCTCATAACTATAAACATAATCTGAAAAGCTCACATTGAGTGAGCAGTCATCTCAAGCTTTGCCTAGATCACCTCATTTTTTTCTCACAACTGTCCTCTAAGGTAGGAACTTTACTATTCTTCTCCCTATTTTGGCAGAAACTAAAGCTTAGAAAAGTAACTTAACCCATTATCACCTGCATCACCTGGCTCTAACATGGTCAAGCCAGTATTTAAATCCAGGTCATGTGACCCAGAGGCTGTGCTGTTTTTTTTTTTTTTTTTTTTAAGACTTTATTTATTTATTTGAGAGAGAGAGCAAGCAAGAGAGCACAAGCAGGGGGAGCAACAGAGGGCCAGGGAGAAGCAGACTCCCTGCTGAGCAGGGAGCCTGACATGGGGCTTGATCCCAGGCAGATGCTTAATGGGCTGAGCCACCCAGATGTCCCAAGGCTGTGCTCTTAAGAATAAAGCTCTGCTGTTTCCCTGCAGAAAACAAGCTTCTCTCAGACCAGAACTTTTTGTAGCAATCTCAAAACTACTCGTCTCAGTTCTGTAGGTTTGGGCATGTAGTAAAGAAGTCATGAACAAACTGTCCTGGATGAGAAAGATGCCGGGGTTATTTCATACTTTTATTCTCAGGACACAGCACAGAATAGCTATGTACAAGGCACTTGGCACATGGTGAACACTTGGTAAGCATTTATTAGGCAAGTGAGACTTTATGTATAATTTTTTATATTTTGGAGAAAGAAATGCTGTTTTACCTGCAGATGGTTTCCACTTCCATCCCAGAAAACCCAAATGCACTGTCTCCTTCCACACAAATGACCCGCTTCCCTGGGTTTCTATCTCTTGCCACTATAGCAGCTGCAATAGCAAATCCCAAACCAACTCCCATTGTTCCAAAAGTGCCAGCATCAAGCCTGTTGGGGAACAAAACTAAAATGAAACCCTCTGGGGCATAGTGATGGTGGGGTTGGCACAATCTAGTCATATTCATGTGTAAAATAAAGAATAAAGATATTCTCTATCTTTAATATAAAGTTTTTAGGTTATGAAGAACCAATTAGTCAAGGATAAGTAGAATGAAAGAAAAGTCTCTCATGACTGCTTGGAAAAACATGAACAAACATATCCTTGGAACACGAAGTATACAAATTCTCACACAATCACAGACATATAAAAACTCTACCAAATCTCATCTAAGAATACTTCCATGAAATATGTCCTTATACACTGAACATATGAAATCCTCAAATGTTTTAAGAACCTGCACTACTGTAGTTTCCAATTTAAGACAAAATCTCTTTCCTGAAAGCCTTACCTGTGACGAGGAAGGTAGTTCTGGATCACAGTGCGTCCAATATCCATAGTATTTGCTCCTTCACTTACCACAAAACAGTCTCTGGGTAGTTGTTCTTGAACTTGGTAGAATACTGTGTAATAATTCATAGGCAGGGATTTTTGGGAAGCTAATTCCTAAAGTATTTGAGGGAAATATAATCAAATTACAATGAGATACAGTGAAAAGCGAGCAATGTCAAGAAGCTACCATCAAACTATTCAGAGACAGCCAGTAAGAACAAGCTATGAGGTTCCCAAATGGCTTCCTTGAGAAGCTACTAGACCTGGGAACAAGACTGTGGGACATGCTGAGAAAAAGACTGGGTCCCTCAGACTCAGTCCGGGATACAACTGAATAAACCAGGAAAAAACGTTCTTCCTGGATGTCCACCACACAGGTTAGCATACCAGTCAGATAAGTCCTACAGTAAAGACAGCTGGAAACACTGGGTTGAACAAAACTAAACAGTCTTATTTGAGTACTTTTAGGAAAACACTGCTTTAGAAAAAGTAAAAATCTTATTCTGGAATATTTTCATCTGAAATATACCCTTAAACTTACAATAAAAATGAAGTCAGGATTTTAAAGAATCTGAGAATCTGGTTCTTCTCCACATGCACTGGAGAGTAAAGGGGATATGCTTCACCTATTATTCCAGTCTCTGAATGGAGCAAGGTAAGTGCCTTTGTTCAGCCATATGCCTTTTAGAGCAGACAGCAAACCACATGGGGCTTCAGCAGCAACAGTTCCATGTGCTCCTAGCACTGCCTCTTCACCTGTGCTATTTTGACCCGTTTATATACGAGATATATATTTGGAAGGATTCCCCCCCACCTAGTTCATTAACACATCCATCACCTCACTTTTTTTTTTTGGTGCAGACCATTATAGCCTTTTCAAATGAACGAGATTATACGTAAGATGGATGAGGCACCCTCCTATACTCCTGCACCAGAGAAGAGAGGCAAGTTCCTTCCATCCTAAACTAATATGATTCCTAGGGAAAAGAAGGGATTAATCATGACACTACTCAGGAAAACAGAATTGAGACTGGGTCTTGATAGAAACAGCCACTGATTAAAATTCCAATGAAACACAGAATTACGTATAATTAATTCTGCTAGTTCTGAAAATGTGATTTTATTCTAAGACATGACATAATTGGAAATATGAGCATAACTCAAATTTCCTATTTGCTTATGCAAGATTGTATCAGTGAGAAACATTACATGAACACAGAAAACTGCACCCAGCTGGACCAAGATGCATACACAAAACATTGAAAAAAATCAAGAACTACCTTTCTCACAATCAAAGAAAAAATTCTGCTTATATACAAAGACTCTAAACAGAAATCACCACATCCTGCAGAAGTGGTTCATTTCACTGCCAGAAGTGGATGATCTGGTGGTTTCACAATCATACAACTCCCAAAGCCTTTATTTTATTTATTTTTTTAATTTTTTATTTATTTATGATAGTCACACAGAGAGAGAGCGAGAGAGAGGCAGAGACATAGGCAGAGGGAGAAGCAGGCTCCATGCACCGGGAGCCCGACATGGGATTCGATCCCGGGTCTCCAGGATTGCGCCTGGGCCAAAGGCAGGCGCTAAACCACTGTGCCACCCAGGGATCCCCCCAAAGCCTTTAGATACCAGGCAAGGGGATCCCTGGGTGGCTCAGCGGTTTAACGCCTGCCTTTGGCCCAGGGCGCAATCCTGGAGACCCGGGATCGAGTCCCACATCGGGTTCCCGGCATGGAGCCTGCTTCTCCCTCTGCCTGTGTCTCTGCCTCTCTCTCTCTCTGTCTATCATAAATAAATAAATCTTTAAAAAACAATGATAATAACACTTAAAAAAAATAGATACCAGGCAAAGCTATGAGTAAAGATGAGGAAGTTGCAAAAAAAAAAAAAAAAAAAAAAAAGTGAGGTGATGGATGTGTTAATGAACTAGGTGGGGGGAATCCTTCCAAATATATATGCATATCAAATCACCTTGATATATCTTTAAATACCTTATAATTTCCTATGTGAATTTACTCCAATAAAGCTGAAATTTTTTAACATTTGATCAAATTTTCAATTCTGATGAAACACCTATCATGCACACCTTGACGGACTTATATCTTAAAGGTAAAAAAACATGCTCCAGGATTTAAGATTTCAAAAGATCTCTTAAGTGTGATTTGGTGCCAAGGTCAAACTGAGGACAGTGAACCCTACCCATTCACATGGCCTGTCCAATGTCAAGCCAGCCTCTGTCCAATGTCAAGCCAGCCTCCTTCTACTACTTCACACTAATTCAACAAGCTGCAACCCTTCTAATGCCCACTTCCACAAGAGACTTCAGATCTTTTTCAAGGAAAAACACCACATATATACATATTTTTAACCATATAACATGTGCAAAACTTTGCCATCATTTTTATATTTATTTATTTAAGATTTATTCATTTATTTTAGAGAGAGCATGTGCATGCAAGCAATTGAGGGGGGAAGGGGCAGAGGGAGAGGGAGAGAGAATCTTAAGTAGACTCTGCTGAGCACAGAGCCTGCTGCAGGGCTCCATCCCACAACTCTGAGATCATGACCCAACCTAAATCAAGAGCTGGATGCTTAACCAACTGAGCCACCCAGACTTCCCTCTGTTGCCATTTTTTTTTTTAAGATTTTATCCATTCATTCATGAGAGACACTCAGAGAGAGAGGCAGAGACACAGGCAGAGGGAGAAGCAGGCTCCATGTGGGGAGCCCGATGTGGGACTTGATCCCGAGACCCTGGGATCATGCCCTGAGCCGAAGGCAGTCATTAAACTGCTGAGCCACTCAGGCGTCCCTGTTGCCATTTTTATAAAGTTCCTATCTTAATGTTTCACAAAGTTTTGGAGAGTTGTGCCTCTAAACCCTTTTTTCCATGAGCCCCATAGTTTTTACTGCATGGTTTTGTATAGCATGGCAATTTGGGGAATGTGTAGGTCATATTATGAGAGAGCTAACTGAGCCACAAACCAAAAGTATTCTTGAGTTTCCATGAGTCTCATATTACCTTGGATGCAGCTTCATTGCTCTCCATTTTTTCTCTCAGAGTTTGCCACCAGCTGCTCTCTGGAGGATACTGCCATGGTGTTTTATCAAATTGTTCTAAAAGCTAAAAAAAACCCACACTTTTACTTTTTCAAAATGAACTTAAGTCATATTAACACAACAATCTCTTATTAAAGAAGACAATACTGCTATACTCTCCTGCCATTCATATCACTCATACTGCTTTTCTTCTAAGTGGCTAACAACTGATAGACAATATGGAAAGCTTCTGTTTGGGTTAGTGTGGATTCCCACCTAAAGTTGGAGTTTCCACAGAACACAGGGGAAATGCTACCTCTCTACATAACACAGGGAGAGCTTTAATGCCCTCCCCAGCCTTTGACACTAGAAGGAAAATCACCCCCACCACAGAATCCTTGTGGGAAGGACAATAACCCCAAAAACATAGAGATTCCCAAGATACAGACCAAATGCTCCAGGATGTTTTAATATGTGATTGGGGAGTGCTTCATAATATTATATAATCATGATAACAGTATCGATTTGTATCTAAACTCAAATAATAAATGTGACTATTTTATCTCCTGTTATAATGAAATACATAAATTATGTACAAATAATAAGAATCTGGATAACTAAGTATCACTTGAAGAGTAAAAATGTCTTTACTGCCTAAAGAAATACTAAGTTAGATTTTTTTTCCCCAGACATTTCTTGGCTGTAAGTTCAGTTCTGGAAGCTGTATTATAATTTTTCAGACAGCTGAATCCTACAAATCACTGTTTGCCTACTAAATGCCTTTACGTCTTCAATCGCATTCTAAAAATGCTTGGCTTACTCGCATAAACATGATTTATATACAAGCAGTTGGATTTACTGAGTTCCGATGTTATATTTAAGAATAGCTTTCCAGCATAAATTGTGTTTAAAATAGATATTAATAAATCCATCAACAAGTGAATCAAGGCTGAAACATTTTTAGGTACTGACTATTCCCTAAAGACCAATCCACATAAACTAAAACCTAGACAAAAGCTCTTACCTGTTTAGTGACAGCATTTATGTCTCCTAGCAAACTCACAGCAGGCTTTACATTATTCCCCAATTCTTCTGCACAGATATCAATCTAAAAAAGAGATAGAGCCATATTTACTCTTAAAAATCTTTAAAGAGTCAATGAAGGCTGAATAAATGAGCTGAAGATCTGATAGTTTTTTTTTTTTTTTTTTTTTATGTAGGCTCCACACCCAGAATGGAGACCAACTTGGGGCTTGGATTCATCATTGTGAAATGTGAGATCAAGACCTGAGCTAATATTAAGAGTTGGACGCCCAACCAGCTGAGCCACCCAGGCACCCCAAGAAATTTCTTAATAAAAGTAAAAATCCATAGAACTCTGAGTAATCACAACTAGGACAGAAACCTCATCATTTTCCCTCATTTTAATATCTACTCTGTAGATTTGGGTACTATTATGCACACAGGAATGCATTTGACTTGATCAATTATAGTTCTGAACCTAATTAATAATAAGGTTCTATTCAATTACACTGGGATTCCTACTTAGAGCAGTTCTCAAATGTGAGCTATCAAAATCACCCAGTAGCCTTGTCAAACCACAGATTGCAAGAGTCCAACTCAGAGTTTCTGATCTCAGAAGACCTGAAGTGAAAACCAAAAATGTGCTTTTCTAACAGATTTTCTAGGTGGTGCTATGCTGCTGGCCCAGGGACCACATTTTGAGAACTACTCCTAAGGTATATCATGATTACTTCCCTTTTACCCAGAAGTCCCATTTCTGAATGAAAAGTGAAGATAGCTGTGCAAGAAGCTGTAAATTAGCCCAAAGGGGATGCACTCTATTCTGTACTCAAGAGGGATAATCAAGAGGTGGCAGCCATCTTCCAAGTAAACCCAGGTCTTGCTTATTTGCAGTGTTAGTTCTCCATAGCCCCAGGGGAAAAGAGACTGCTAGAAGCTGACTCTTTGAAAAGTAAAAGGTAGGGAAGCCTGGGTGGCTCAGCAGTTGAGTGTCTGCCTTTGGCTCAGGGCGTGATCCTGGAGTCCTGGGATGGAGTCCCACATTGGGCTCCCTGCATGGAGCCTGCTTCTCTTTCTGCTTATGTCTCTGTCTCTGTCCTCTCTCTCTCTCGTGAATAAATAAAATCTTTAAAATAATAATAATAAAAAAAAAAAGAAGTAAAAGGTAAAACAGGGACAAGACAGGAACCGTAGCTGGGTCACCAAACACAATCTCTGTAGGGCAAACAGGTTGACGCTGCATCATATAAGCAGTACCTCCCACACCAGCAAGGAAACCTGCTTAGAAAGAGAATCATAATGATACAAGAACCATCAAAGGGAGGCCAAAGTATATTCTACTCTGTTTAGTGAGGTAAAAGCAGCACTTAGAGATTTCTAACCAAAGGGTGTTTGAAAAATTTGGCATCTAAAAGGACAATTCAATCCCTAACAATGCTGAATGTTTTGTTCTAGTCTACCATTCTACTTAAACCCCTTTGTCTACCTTTAAATATACTTGAACTATGAAGAAGAGGCAAATTATGGTCTTCAAACTATTTAAAACTTGGTTTTGAAAGGTTTTCTGGTTAGAAGGAAAGTGGCATATTACGTTTCATAGGCGTGAAAAGGCGGCTTACTTTGGTACCTGTAATTATGTTAGACAATTTATAAAAACCTACAAAAGCCAAGAAGAGAGCAGAGCTGATAATAGCTGAGAAGAACAATAAATTATAGCTCTGATTTTAAACCTCTCTACTCTGAGTACCTGGATAAACTTCACATCTGGTTGATATCTTGGAGGCAGTCCAAAATGCAAAATCCAATTTAATCTGGCACCAAATAGCACAATTACATCAGCAAACTGCAAAGCCCTATTAAGAAGAAAAATCTGGTATAATACAAAAAGTAGATCTATACTTATTTGAATTATTCTAAAATTAATTTCTGAAGTATTTAGAAAAGTTTAATCCGGAGCTTATCTTATTTCAGTCTTCAGAATCTTCTAGGATAAATTTGATCTTTCAAACCAAAATAATTTTTGAAGCTATTCTATTTAAATAGTAATCTAAATGATGAAATAAGTAGAAAAATATAACACTACACCTATTTCATTATTACTTATCATTAGAAAAATTAATACAAGTCTACCGTAGATAATCTAAAAAAATCAGAAAAAGTATAAAGAAACAAAACTTCACCCAATAATACAATCAACTTAAAAGCTATTATTCACAGACTGACATATTTTCATCTAGTGTTCTTTCTATGCAAGTATATTTTTATATTGTTGAGCTTGTTTGCTATAATACTGTCTCATACACTTTTGCTTACTACAAACATTTTCCTTTATCATTACATTGCTCTTAAAATTTTTATTTTTTTTTGGTAATCTCTAAACCTAACATGGGGCTCAAATGCACAACCTTGAATTCAAGAGTCACATGCTCTTCCGACTGAGCCAGTCAAGCATCCTTATATACAATTTTGAAAGGCTACATATTTTGCAGAACACATATATCAAATTTATTTTAATTTGTTATCAATAGTACTGGGTTGCACATCTTTTTGCTTAAATCTTAGTACATATTTCATATTGATTCCTAGAAGCAGTTTTTTTTTTTTAAGATTTTATTTATTTGAGAGAGATAGAGTAGAGCAGGAGGGAGGAATACATGCAATTGGAAGAATAGATTTCCTCACTGATACATGAAATTATTATTTACAGCCATTTGCAATCTTTTTTACACTATTAATAGTACCTTCTTAAATTTTGGCTGGAATGAAGATAAACTTCAGCTCGAGCCAACTTCAAATAAATACACACACACACTAAAACCTTAACAGTGTAAGAATCTGGTTACTGTCCAATATATTATCAATACGAAAAAGAAGTAAAGGTATAATCTATACTTTTATAGATTGAGATATAACCTATTTAAGATAACATCAAAAGAGCAAAAAAATTACATTTTAAAAACCCTCAAAATTAATTTTAGTGTGTGCATAAGAATATGAAAAACACCAAATGCACAGCCATGGGGAATTGTGGAAAGGGAGGGAGGGAATGAGATCAGGGAAGCTATTCAAAGGACTATAAATGAATCCTAAGTCTTCAGAATCAGACTTCAGACTTTTTGTTTCCTAAAAAAGAAAAAAACCTAGAAACTAAAGCAATGACATTACTATTTAATTACCTAATATTACATATTACTTTATATATTATATTTGATAAAGTTGTGTGGGGGTTACATAAGTGTTCATTAAATGATCTCTCTTGTTTATTTAGAATATTTCATAATAAAGAAATTAAAAGAAAAAATGTATAGTTTATCAAAGCATTTACAATCTAAAAAGAGGAGACCTCTTGTGTCAGCCGAGGCTGGGTAAGCCCACTACAGCCTAGCTGATTACAATGGAAAACTGAACAAAATATAAAAAGCACCTGCCTGAGGATTCTGAAAAGTACCCAATAGTAGGTGAACTGGGAGATGAGTCAAAGAAGTGACTCAGGTAGTGAGTTTCTAAGCTCTATTTCCCCTCTTTTATTTTCTGGCTTTGACTCAGGCTACCACTGGTTGTAGAACTGGAGGGCAACAAAGACTAGGGAGAAACCTTGTCTTTTTTGGCCAGGTGATCAGAAAAAAGAGCCCCTGAAAGCTGGGGAGGAGCATAGGAAGGGGGGAAGTTCAGGCTTATTCTTCTTTTCTGTCCTGCTCTCCCAGCCATGCTCTGAGAGCAGCCCTGCCACACAGCTGCATCGCAGTAGCTCCCAAGCAACTAAAATTCTACAAGAGACTTCATTTTTCAGGCAAGAAGAACCAGAAGAAGGGTCCCTGGGGTCTGTGAAGAGTATGAGGACAATCCCTCTTTTCTTTTTATCTTTCTGTCTGTCTGTTACTTTGCTCCAAAGGCAGTTCCATTTGTGTAGTACTCTAAGGTAGCAGTAAGGGGTCCTGGAAAGGGCAGGGGGTTGTCCTAGAGAGAAGAGAAGAGAAAAGAATTCCCTAGTTCTGGGTATGAACTGGCACATGTCTGGGGGCTTACACTTGGACAAACTCAAAGGAACATAGCAAAGGCTTTGAAAATGAACTGACCCTGGAGCCACTGCCCTGGTAAGACAGACCTTGCAGTGTGAACTTGACTAGGTCTGCTTGTTAAAACAAACAAACAAAGCCAACGTTCTACAGAGTATGTAAATGTGACCTATAATCTCACAACATAATATTTAAAATCTGGGATATATTCCAAAAATACTCCATATATAAAAGAACCAGAAAAATGTGATTCTCAAAAGAAATTAATAGACTTGCGTTCTGTGATGACTCAGATGCTGAAATTAGTAAAACAAAGACTTTAAAGTAGCTACTACAATATGCTCCATAAAGTAAACAAAAACACTTCAAATAAATGGGAAGAGAGAAGTTCTCAACAGAGAAATATAAAATATGAGACAAAAGTATTGAAAAGAACTCAACAGACAACATAGCATAATGTTGAGATGTCAAATCACTGTTATACACCTGAAACTAATGCAACATTGTATGTCAACTATACTTCAATTAAAAGATAAATTAAAAATTTATTAAAAAAAAAAACATGTTAAGAAATTTCTAACAAGGGTACCTAAGTGGTTCAGTCAGTTAGGCAGTCAATGATTGATTTAGGCTTAGGTAATGATTTCAGGATCATGGGATTGAGCCCTGTGTCAGGCTCTGCACTGGGTATGGAGCCTGCTTAAGATTCTCTCTCTCCCTCTTGCTCCTCCCCCCCACCCCCATCAACTCCCACTCTCTCTCTAAAATAAATAAATAAATCTTTAAAAAAAAAAAAGAAAATTCTAATAAACTACTTAAAAGATTAAAAAAATAATTGAACAGATAAATCTTCAGAGACCTATGGACAATGTCAAAATGCCTACAACTTATATTATTCCAGGAAAGGAGGAGAATGGTGTAGAAAAAAAATTTGAATAATGGCCAAAAACTATAAATTTGGTGAAAGACATTAATTTACAGATTGAAGATCAGAGAACAGGATAAACTAAAAGAAAACCATGCCCAGACACATAATCAAATTGCTGAGAACCAAAGATAAAGAAAAATCCTGAAAGCAGCTACAGAAGAATATATTACATAAAAGAGAACAATTCAAATGACTACAGATTTCTCATCCAAAACCATGAGGGTCAGAAGGTAGCAGACAACATCTTTAAAGTGCTGAGAAGTCTAAAAAGAAACAGGTATGCTTAAAATTACATTTCAGAACTTCTGTTAGATTCATTAAAATCACAAAATAATTTAAATTAGCCTAAGATCTGCCAAGCCATTGTACTAAAACTCTAGAAAGCCACGCACCTGGATCTGGCAGCAGATACACAGTTTGGATGGTTATCAGGGACAACACCCTTACCCATGGGGGTGGGCAAAAACGGCAATTTACATTGCCCCACCAATTTCCTGATAGCCTCCTCTGCGCGGGAATAAGCAGCACCTACCAGAAACACAAATGTATTAGACAAGTCAATTATGCTCCAGGCACTGTGATTCTTAAAATAGCTCACATGAGTTTGCTTTTAGAACTCCTCAAATAATCTATTTATACAGGGCTTACACTGAAACAAACTGTGACTATGGTTTTTACCTTTGGTATTTTAAAATGTTTAAGAAAGCAACTAATTTCCTCCCCAATAATATTCTCAATTATTCTGAAGGACATCTACTCCAAAACAAAAGTTGCATCTCTTATCTCTTGATGCTCTCAACGGTCTATTCTATGGTTCCTACCGAATTACTATTCACAATTCCCTAAATACAGATTCTTTACCAACAGGCGCAGGTAGGCAAGGCAGCACTTTGACAGAGAAAGGCTCTCTCTAACTTCACAGGTTGCTCCTTACCATCAGCTAACCTGGACTGCTCAGTCTCCTACACTAGGCATGGAGATTCTAACGAGAGATTTAAGTTTCTAAAGCTCCACAGATCTTTTCAAAGGCTCTACAATTGTAGGACTGCAACAGGGCTAACCTAAGCAGGTCACATATCATTTGTTCTTATGTATGCTTGCATGCCTGAAGAACAATCACAGGCCTTAAGCCTTCGAGGACACTGAAAACTATCTGAATACAGGAATGATATCATTTCTAATGTCATTAAGGCCATTATAATTCTTTTTAGATATCTAATTCTATATTCTTTTTCAACACTCATAGAATACTACTCCATATTTGAAACTTGTAATTCTCTGCTGAATCCCAGTAAATAGTATAGTGTACATTCAGATTCAATACAATGCTCCCCCAATATTAATACCTTAAAATATTTTCTCATATATGTCAGATGAAAAGTAGTTTTCCACCCAGAAAGTTTCCTTGTATTCTCTTTTTTGCCTCAATATCTTTGTCCACCGTCCTCTCTTCCTGGACTTGTCTACTCAGTGAGCTATCATCCATCTTTTCAAGGTGTAGCAATGTCATCTCTTCCAGAGTCTTTCCATACCACCTACACAAGCAAATTGTTCCTGCTTTCCTTGAGAATCCACCTCACCCTCTCTATACACACCACTTAAAGGTACACTGTATTTATCTGCTACCAATCTATCTTTAGAAGGGACCACTATTTCTCTGTATATCTTACAAATGTTTTCTAGAATACCTGCCTTATCATAAGTACTAATCAAATGTTGGTTCAAATAAGAATGAAAACTAAAACTAGCATCTACTAAGTTCTTTCTACCTAACTTACTATTTAATTTTAACAATCCTGTTGACATAGTTAATATTTCTGTTTTACAGTGAGGTAACTGAGACTCAAAGCAGTTGTTTGCCAGGACCACAGAGCTAATGCATCATATAGCTGCCTTCCACTCAGCTCTGACTTTGATTTTTTTCTGTTGTCCACCATTTTCACTAAAATTATTTTTAGTTTCTATGTAATTAGTTCCTCAGTAGTTGATAACTGACTAGCATGGTCACAGGTAACTTACAGCCCTCTCAGTTCTAGAATATATAATGGATACCAAAATAAATTGCTGACAGGAGTATAAATCGGTACAATACCTTGAGAGAAGGCAATTTGATGATATGTACCAAAAACCAAAAATGAATTACTTTTTTAACTTAATTTTCTTTCTGAGAATCTATCTTAAATCCTAAATATGGAAAAAGCGTTGAGGACACACATGTTTGTCAGTTATACTAAACAAATATCTGTCAATGAAGTGTTAGTATATACATGAATAGACATTAAAATTTTATTTCGGAAAAAATTTAAGACCATGAAGAAATGTTGTTACAATATTAAATGAAATAAATAGAATATAAATAAAACAGTCTATATGGTGTGATCACAGTGTATGAAATATATATGCAGAAATGAAAAGTATTATATGTTAAAAATAGTTGTCCTTTTATTTGAGAGCAAGAATGTGAGGGAGGGGGGAGGGGCAGATGGAGAGGAAGAGGGAAAGAATTTTAAGCAGGCTCCACTCCACACTCCCAGGTGGAGGGTTTGATCTCATGACCCTGAGTTCATGACCTGAGCCTAAATGAAGAGTCAGATGTTTAACTGACCGAGCCACCCAAGTGCCCCCAAAATAGTTGTCTTTGGATGAAGGCATTTCTTCCTTCTTATCTTCTGGATTTTCCAAAATTTTTTATAATGATCAAATATTATTTTTATAACGGAAAAAAAACACATTTTACACATAAGGCTGAAGAAATAGAATGGGTGATATTCCCTTAAAAGGGCAAGATCTCTGGGCATTCTAGAAAAATTCTATGGTTTCAAAATTAATATAGAATGCTAAATGAAAAGAACTCATACTCCAATTTCAAATATTAGATATATTAATAAATAATGAAGACAATTTCTAAACAGAATCCACAGTCTTTCAACAGCTTAGCGAGATTTAGAGTTCCATTCAAGGCTACCTTTCCCGATGATAAGGAGGGGCCGTTTGGCATTCCGAAGCACAGATGCTGCCATATATACAGCAGAAGTTTCTGCCATACTAACAGGAGGTGGCAAGCAGCACTCCATGTACCTAGAAATAAAGAGTTCTGTTAATTCAAAGAACCAAGTTTTAAACTTTTTATTACAAAAAGACCAGATCTACAATAAGGTAGAAAAAAACAGTACAATAAACTCTACATACCCACCATGTAGATTGAACAACTAATATCATTTTACCACATTAGCTTTACAACACACACAAATACGCATGCAAATTTGTTTCCTGAACCGTTTTAAAGTGAATTATAGGCAATTATAAGCTTTTCCACACAGTTCTAAAAGATAAAACCTTTCTCCTATATAACCATAATGTCCTTATCACATCTAGTAAATTAAAAGTTACTCCATAATACCATCTAAAAGCCAACCAAATGAGTAATTCATTGACAGGATATTTGAGTTAATGGCTTTACATTGTAGTAATAATTGTTGTAAGAATAGTAAAAAACATACTCAGAGCCAGTGTTTAATATTATGCACCATTTAATTTCATTTAATTTTCAAAGCAGGGATGCCTGGGTGGCTCAGAGGTTGAACGTCTGCCTTCAGCTCAGGGCGGGGCGTGTCCCAGGGTTCCAGGATCAAGTCCCACATCAGGCTCCCTCTGGGGAGCCTATTTCTCCCTCTGCCTGTCTCTGCCTCTCTCTCTGGGTCTCTCATGAATAAAAACTAAAGAAAGAAATAAAAAGCTACTAAAAATTTTGTTTTCAAAGCAATGAGGTCAGGCACTACCATTATCTCCATTTTATTATTGTGAAGGAAAACTCAGAAAGTAACTTGCCCAGGGTCCCCAGGTGGTATGTGGCAGAGACTAGACTGACCTTCTGTTTCTAAAGTCTATGCCTTTAACCACCTCACCACATTTCCACTCACTGAATCAGTATTTTAGTAATACAAAATGCATTAGGAAAAATTTAAAACTGTCATAGGTAAGTATTTCTGGACACCAAGACCTTGGTGTTTTCATGTAAGTAGTAAACATCATACACTACACAAAATTTGGGCATATAAAACACACACAAAAACAGACATTCAATTTTTACAAAAATTTTAAAGAAGGCCAACAGAGGAAAAAAAAAAAAAAAAGAAAGCTAACAGAGTTAACTTATCAGAGACTCCCTGTCCTTAGTAATATTTTACCATGTTCAGGTATTATACATGGTAGATATCCTTTTTGTCTGAGTTTTACAATGAGAAACAACTCTTTGGTATACTGAATATACAGAAATGCACATTTTCTCTCTGTAGTCACTAGAGAACCGCTTAGTCCACAACAGCAGGAGTACACTAAATGGTACCCACAGTGATTCATTAACCTTAGTATCCATCCTATCAGAGGTGACTTGGATACCAGTGAAAAATGTTTCTTATACTTTTTATTCACTCAGTGTTTATTTAAGGAAGAGAACACGGAAAATCATAATAACACCTGGGTTGGAATATTTTTAAATCACAGAGACAAACTAAAATTTTTTTATGCTGAATCCTAAATAACTTTCAACAGTCACCTCACCTCATCTCTTGGTTTATACTATGAAGACTCCACGTAACTCCTACTACATTAACGGGGATGTATTATTTATGGTCACTGGAAGAATACTTTCAAATGAGTGTTCGGGAGGGGCACCTGGTTGGCTCAGTGGTTGAACATCTGTCTTTGGCTCAGGGCATGATCCTGGGGTCCTGAGATCAAGTCCTGCATTGGGCTCCCTGCAGGGAGCCTGCTTCTCCTTCTGCCTATGTCTCTGCCTCTCTCTGTGTGCCTCTCATGAAAAAATAAATAAATAAGTCTTTAAACACAAAACAAAACAAAACCAATGAGTGTTCAGGAAGTTCCATGTATTTGACTTAATAATTAACCCCCCAAATAATTACTAAGTAACAACACTGTAATCAACAGAATTAAACCCTTTGGCCAGGATTTAGTATAATTATTAAAGGGTCAAAAGTTAAGACAAATGAAGATTAACTTATAAACTGTTATGTAAATTGTTAAAAGGCAAACATTGTAATAACACAATTAAGAAAGAACTGTAGTTTAACTTTTTATTATTTTATTTATTTATTAGATTTTTTAAAAATTTTATTTATTTATTCATGAGAGACATACAGAGAGAGAGGCAGAGTGAGAAGCAGGCTCCCTGCAAGGAGCCGGATGCAGGATTCAATCCCAGATCTCCAGGATCACGCCCTGAGCTGAAGGCAGACGCTCAACTGCTGAGCCACCCAGACATCCCTATTTATTAGATTTTTATTTATTCATTTGATAGAGAGAGACACACACACACAGAGCACAAGCAGTGGGTGAGGGAGGGAAAGGCAGAAGGAGATGGACAAGTAGGCTCCCCACTGAGCTGGTAGCCTGATGTGGGGCTCCATCCCGGGACTTTAGGATCATGACCTGAGCTGAAGGCAGATGCTTAACCGACTGAGTCACCTAGGTGCTCCTCCAATATAACTATTACTTACTTTATAGAATTCACATTCACTTGGAAGTTCACAAAATCTGCAGGTATGTCAACATAACAAGGACCTGGACGGCCATAAATACTGCTTCTCACTGCCTAAATTTTTACAAATAGAAGAAAATATTTTAAAATTCTCAATATTTATCACATAATCCACTTAAAGATAATTAAAAATTGTGAAAGGAATGCTATTTTAATTGCTTCTGGACGTCCCTAGTTGGAGAAATAAACAATTTTAACTAAAATTGAAATGCTCACTATTGATTGTATATATTTTGGTTGTATATATTTTAAAAGATATTTTTGCTTTAAATGAAAGAGATAAGAGAGAAAATACTCACCTAGGCTTTTAAACTTCATGTTATATTACATGCAGTCTTAGAAATTATCCACCAGGCTCTGCCTGCCACCTGTTTACTCTGTAACTTGTACATCTACTTTACTTCCTAGTCCTAATGACCTGGATAAGTTTTCAGAAGCTGTGATGTTACAACATGTATCAAATGGTTTCTGTAACACATGGTTTTAAAACAGCTCAAATGTAAAAAAAAAAAAAACAAAATAAAACAAACAAAAACAGCTCAAATGTAACTCTACATACAAATGTTGGTTAGCTAAAATTAATTTATAATATGCTCTTTAGTCAATTAAGACATAGTTTTATGTGCATTAGCACTAATTTTCAAAACTAATCTTTTGCAAAAGTGTAAGAAAAAGGTTACCCAGGATTTCATATTTTATCTTTCTTTTTACTTTTCTGCAGTTAAAACAATATTAATAACTGAAGGAATAACTTTTTTCAAAAATTATCTGCTTCTGTAATTGACAGTAAACATTAAAATATAAATAGTTCTTTAACACTATCATTTTTGACTGCCTGAATATATACCAAATTGTTGCTCATTCTATGGAGAATAAAAATAACACAGGTATGAGCAACTGAGAAAAATCAGTTCACTTGGAGAACTGGTAATTAAATACTTTACCTTTTCGATAATAGAAGGAATAGTTTCTATGCTGCTCGGCCGGGCGGAGAACTTGCAATATAATCTACAAGCTTCAACCTATATACAGAAAGAAAATCACATAAAATACGGTTTACAGATCATATTAACTTTTCTGATGGAAGACAAAATGTTAAGTCTTTACTTTCTATTATGTGTAGAGAAAAGACAGAGAAAATACAAGACCTCCTGAACTTTTTCTTAAAAGCCTAGGCAAAGCACAATCAAATTTCTGCCTCCCTATGATTCAGGAGGTAAATCAAAATAAGACACTATTTTCATTTCTCAGACTGGAGAAATGAAAGACTTTGATAATACTCAGCATTTACCACCACATAGGAAAGCAGGCACTCTCCTAAGCTGCTGGTGAGAGTATAAATGGGAAGGGAAGGTGATAATGTCCACCAAAAATTAAAATGAGCATATCCCTGGACCCAGAAATTCCATAGCCAGGAATACAAAACCTTATCTGCTTTATCTTGTTACAATTATAATCTATCCTTACATTTCTGATGGCTTTCCTATATTTAACTGCTATGCTGTTTGGGAGGTGTCAATTCAGCAGTACTAATTTTTTACTGTTTAATGTACTCTGAAGCAGTATGTTGAAATAGTCTCTCTTGACAGCTTTTGGTATGAAATCTGTGAAACAGTTGCTATAGTCTTAATCCCAAAGTGTGACAGAATTAAGATTTTCAATCTGGGGTGCCCAGGCGGCTCAGTCAAACATCTGCTTTCAGTTCAGGTTATGATCCCAGGGTCCTGGGATCAAGCACGGCATCGGGCTCCCTGCTCAGTGAGGAGTCTGCTTCTCCCTCTGCCCTCTGCTCCCCCCCTTACTTGTGCGCGCGCTCTCTCTCTCTCTCTCTCAATTCTCTCTTTCATGCTCTCTCAATTTATTTTTATTTATTTATTTATTTATTTATTTATTTATTTATTTATTTATTTTTATTTATGATAGAGAGAGAGAGAGAGAGAGAGAGAGAGAGAGAGAGAGAGAGAGGCAGAGACACAGGCAGGGGGAGAAGCAGGCTCCATGCCAGGAGCCCGACGCGGGACTCAATCCCAGGACTCCAGGATCGCACCCTGGGCCAAAGGCAGGCGCGAAACCGCTGAGCCACCCAGGGATCCACTCAATTAAAAAAAAAAAAAAAAATCTTAAAAAAAAAAAAAGATTTTCAGTTTGTTCCTGGTCGTGTCATTTAAAATGTTTCCACAAAAAACAGACACTTGGATTTTAAATCGAATCAGTGCTTTTCTCCTCACATTTTTAATTTCATCTAATAAACTATTATTTTCCCTTTCAGGAAAAAAAATAGTTGCAGTGGACATTATCCTTTACTTTGTTTTCATCTATAAGTTTCTGTAGTAAGTTTAAATTTCCTTTTAAATAATGGTTGTTACTCTTTACCATTAACTAAGTTTCAATTCCCTTTCAAAAGGATAAAAATATAACTTGCATAAACTTACACCAAGATCTAGTACTTTACAATAATTTAAATCATATAAAAAATTGTTTATCTTGAGGTTCTCACAATGACTTCTGATTAAACTTTGCCTAAGGGTTTTAACTCTGCTCAGAACTTTGTGCTATAAATGCACAAATATTTTCTTAAGAGTTAATCATTCAGGGAAGCCTAGGTGGCTCAGCAGTTGAGCGCCTGCCTTTGGCCCAGGGCATGACCCTGGAGTCCCAGGATTGAGTCCCACATCGGGCTCCCTACATGGTGCCTGCTTCTCCTTCTGCCTATGTCTCAGTCGTTCTCTCTCTTTGTCTCTCATGAATAAATAAATAAAATCTTTAAAAAAAAAAAAAGAGTTAATCATTCACTCTCATCTATTTGCTTTCTACAGCTAATCTTAAAACTAGCAAATTCTATGTTTATCTTGAGGTTCTCACAATGACTTCTGATTAGACTTTGCCTAAGGATTTTAACTCTGCTCAGAACTTTGTGCTATAAATACACAAATATTTTCTTAAGAATTAATCATGCACTCTCATCTATTTGCTTTCTACAGCTATTCTTAAAACTGCAGCATTCTGTTTTATACAACTATTTATGAACACCTGTGTTGTACCTGTAATAAATATATAGAAAAAGCAAAAAAAGCACAAAAAACACACCACTATAGCATTTTGTGGGCAAATTCTTTGAAGTTTTTAGAAATTTTTAAATACTTTCTTTCAGCCTGCTAAAATAACAATGAACTTGTCCAGTCTACTGATAGTCATTTTATGTAGGATTTTTACTCTCAACTTTTTACTTCTCTGAAGTTTGAGAGGCATAGTCCCACACCATTTATATTCCTGCAACTTGACTCTTAATCTAAGAACTTATTTTCAGAGTTTAAAAGCCTGTTGAAAAGATCTATTTCTTGTAAGACTGCTCCTAAGTAGAGCCTGAGCTTCCTTAAGGTGCACACTGAGTGCATATTCCTAATACAGTCTCACATTATAGGAGTTACGTTCTAGTCAATTCATAAAATATTTAATCTTCCTAGTATAAAGGAAGAAATTTATTGCTTAGGAATTTCTCTCACTCCACCATTTCCAATTTCTCTTACTCCACCCTCTTTAATATGAGACTGTCTTGTAGTTAAGGAAAATTACCTTTAAATTACCTCAGGTACCTCTATTTTATTTTAAATGTTTACCTTACAGACAGAAGTTTTTATTTCTTCTCTATAAATCTTAATAGGATACATTTATGCTACTAAACCCTAAGAAAAATTTTGGAGTTGTGTACCTGTGGAAACTCCTGGAAGGCTCCCATTGTTTCCTGCCTTCTTTCAGAAGAACCACCAATCACAATCAAAGGCCTGAAATATTCATTGTTTTAAAAAAGAATTACAGATGAGATCAATAGGTTAAATACTCAGGACAGTGCCCAATTAACAAACAGCTGTGTATGCTGAGAGGGAGAGAATTTCATTTTCCCTTAAAAACTATAGACTGGGGCAACTGGGTGGCTAAGCAACTTGCTCTTGGTTTCCCCTCAGGTCATGACCTCAGGCTGTGAGATCTGAGATTGAGCTCGAGTTGGACTGGGTGCTGGGCATGGAGCCTGCTCGGGATTCTCTCTCTCTCCCCCCCTCGGCCCCTTCTCCTGCTCCTGTGCATTCTCTCAAATAAATAAACAAAATCTCTAAAACAAAAAAACTACAGATTAAAAAAGATTTAGGAAGCAATCTGAGACAAGAACACTCCCATAATCTCAGAAAAAGCTGAAATTTATAGTAAACGCTTTTCCTCCATGCCTCCCACTTCCAAGCCCTTCTGGGTGCTGAAGCTAAACCTCTAGGTGTGGTGATGTAAAATAAATTTTTATGCCCTTCCCATTAGTCTTGGGATTAAAAGGAGGAAACTATATTTTTTCAGCTTTCCTAAGTGAGTCTACTTGGAAATGGCGGAGTGAGAGAAATTCCTTGGCAATACATTTCTTATCCTTCAAGAAGAAGATACTTCTAAAAAAAAAATCAGACCCTAAAGTAGGTAAGAAAAAGAAAGTCTACGAGGGAAGGGAAAAAAAGAAGGCATATGGAAAGAATGTGAACAATGCTCTTCCTACTAGAACATTAGTCTAAATAACATCTAAATATTTAATCTTCCTTCCTAGTATAAAGAAGATTAAATATTCTATGAATTGACTAGAACACAACCCCCTTTAACATGATCTTATTGGTAAAGTACCAAAAATGGGGTTAAGGGCAAGGTCAAAGAGTAGGTACTAAGGAGCTTATAAAGCAAACTAAAAAATATAATTTCAATTGTCTTGCTAGTTATGTAAAACAAGATGAAGAATTGTATACACTCTTACATACTGAGCTGGGGTCTTTAAAAAATAATTCTGGGGATGCCTGGGTGGCTCAGTGGTTCAGTGTCTGCCTTTGGCTCAGGATGGAGTCCCACATCAGGCTCCCTGCAGGGAGCCTGCTTCTCCCTCTGCCTGTGTCTCTGCCTCTCTCTGTCTCTCTCATGAATAAACAAGTAACACCTTTAAAAAACTAAAATAAAAAAAATAAAGATTTAAGAAAGTAATCCTGCACTTGAGGACTTTACACACATTCACCTACATATATATAGAGAAAAAGGCATACAAAAATTCGAAAATGTGTTTTTTTTTAAGTTTTATACACAGTGTAGATTTAATGAATTAAACACAGCCTATTCCCATAAGTTTACATACACATCTTAATGAAAGGAGATGGAAGATGAAGGACATATTATATACTTCTAGTCTCTGTGAGTTAAACACAGAGCTACGCCCATATGCTTCTACATGTGTATTTAGAAACACATTTTTTTTCTTTTTTTTTTTTTTTTATGTAGACTTCACGCCCAACGTAGGGCTTGACTTTTAACTCTGAGATTAAGAGTTGCATGATTTACCAACTGAACCAGCCAGGTACCCCTAGAAATACTTATACCTTAATGAAGGAAGATGTTACTCGAAAGAAGGTGTATACACAAGGCAGACTCAATGAGTTAAGCATATATGTATGCTCATATGCTTCTACACGTAAGTTTTTCCCAAACTCCAAAATGTTAACATTGTTTACCTAAGTAAGAATACTGATGTTTTTTATGTTCTTCCTAATACTGTTCTTAATTTTTTACTGAACTATTCCCTCCAGCACTTGATTCCAAATCTTCCCACCCCAGATCACTAATAACAATTAATTACCAACAGTTCACATTTGCATTTGCCATACCACCCAAAGTGTGGATAAGACCTGGGCCAGAAACCACAAGGCATACACCTGGCCTAGAAGCAAAACAGAATTTATCGTATTAAAAGCAAGTCAAATGCAGTATCTGATTAATATCACTGTAGGGGGAAACATGGCAACCTTCTTGGAACTTCAAAAGAAAGACATATAGGTCTTTACTATAATTCGTAAAGCAATTATTAGAATATTCTCTGAATTAAAAGAAATGAGAAAGATTAGTATTCCTGCAAGAAAGAAGATACACCTATCATCTTCACACTGTATTTCACTAACGTCTTCATATTTTGAACCTCTTCATATTTTGAAGAGGTTATATTTAGGGCCAATCAATTTAACTACAATTCAAAGCCAATTTTTTTTAATAAACTTATTTTTTATTGGTGTTCAATTTACCAACATACAGAATAACACCCAGTGCTCATCCTGTCAAGTGCCCCCCTCAGTGCCCGTCACCCATTCACCCCCCACCCCCCGCCCTCCTCCCCTTCCACCACCCCTAGTTCGTTTCCCAGAGTTAGGAGTCTCTATGTTCTGTCTCCCTTTCTGATATTTCCCACACATTTCTTCTCCCTTCCCTTATATTCCCTTTCACTATTAATTATATTCCCCAAATGAATGAGAACATACACTGTCCTTCTCCGATTGACTTACTTCACTCAGCATAATACCCTCCAGTTCCATCCACGTTGAAGCAAATGGTGGGTATTTGTCGTTTCTAATGGCTGAGTAATATTCCACTGTATACATAAACCACATCTTCTTTATCCATTCATCTTTCGATGGACACCGAAGCTCCTTCCACAGTTTGGCTATTGTGGACATGGCTGCTAGAAACATCGGGGTGCAGGTGTCCCGGCGTTTCACTGCATCTGATCTTTGGGGTAAATCCCCAACAGTGCAATTGCTGGGTCGTAGGGCAGGCCTATTTTTAACTCTCAAAGCCAATTTTCGATGCTGAGTACATTTTTGCATGGAGAAAAGTGTTCAAATGTCATATGATCTCTGACAAAATAATTCTGAAATGTAATGCTCTGCTTCAAATGTTTTAAATTGAATTTGAATGCTTCACGCTAGATGGACTTTCTAACCTTAAAACACTCAAGGAAAGTGTATCTCCATATAATTCAGTTTGCCATTTTACATTTATAAAGTCATTTCTTAAGACACTCTATTTAAGACAAACTTAAAAAGAGTTTGAAATAAACCAAAGACTTTAGTTTACCTGCCTGTCAGATATCCAACCACAGAGGCAGCATAACAAGCCTACAAAGAAAAAATACCAGAACTTAAGCATATTGGGATCCTGACAGTAAGTACACATATAAAAATTCACTATTCAGTAACAAACTAGAACTAAGGGGTGCCTGGGTGGCTTAGTTGGATAAGTGTCTGCCTTTGGCTCGGGTCATGATCCAGGGCTTCTAGGATCAAGCCCTGTATCAAGCTCCTGCTCAGTAGAGGGGAGCCTGCTGCTCCCCCTGCTTATGCTCTCTCTCTGTAAATAAAGAAATAAAATGAAAGAAAGAAAGAAAGAAAGAAAGAAAGAAAGAAAGAAAGAAAGAAAGAAAGAAAGAAAGAACTGAACGGTAAAGGAGGAATTGGAATGCTTTCGTTTTTAACAAGTAATGTTCTACCTGTAAATTTCAAATAATGGTTTAGGTATCTCATCTAGTTCTTAGTATTTTGAGGAACTTATCTATATCACACCTAGTTTATTAGTAATATCCTCTTACAACTGATTATATATCTGCAGGATCAGCAGAAATGTTCTCTATTCTACTCCTAATATTGGCAATTTGTGTTTTCTCTCTTTTATTTTTCATCAGTCTTGCCAGAGATTTATCAAATTTATTAATCTTTTCAAAGAACTAAGTTTTGGCTTTGTTGATTTTTCTATATTGTTCGTTTATTTTCTAGTTCACTGATTTCTGCTCTTGTACTTATTATTTTACTCTTTTCATTTGGCGTTTAATTTGGTTTTCTTTTTCTAGTTTTTTAAAATGTAAGCTTAGAGCACTGATTTTTGCTCTTCCTTGGTAAGAGTCATTCATTTGTTCACTCATTCATTTATGTATTTTAGATTTATTTATTTATCTGATAGAAAGAGATAGAACATGCACATAAGCGGGGGGAGCAGGAGAGGGAGAAGAAGGCTCCCCACTGAACAGGGAGCTCGACATGGGGCTTGATTCCAGGACCCAGGATTGCTACCTGAGCCGAAGGCAAATGCTTAACCAACAGAGCCACCCAGGTGCCCCAGTTAGTTTTTACTTTTAAACTACACTTTAGCTGCACAGCAAAAAAAGGAGAGGTGTTAAATAAAAGATAACCTGAAAAAATGCTAAATGCCCTCTCAAATAAATCCTGTTTCTTAGTGTGGGAATCTTTTTTACAGTATTATTTATTATTTTAGAAATAATAAAAAGTAGGATATTTTCTAACTTCCAACTTGAACTTAAATGTTTAGAACGTAACTGTAAAAAATTAAAAATAAATTTTTATGAATCATAATCCTAACTGGCACCACTACATATGCCCAACTAAGAATGTGTATAAAGGCTCTGTACCATTTCTGTGTTACTATCTCCATTGGCCCTTATCTCTTTTCCCTTTTGCACCTAAGGTCAAATTCACGTAGGATAATAAAACTCCTAAGAATTCAAGTGCATAAAATATAATACTGTTGCAATACGAACACCTATTTGGACACTGAGGAGCCCTATCCATTAATTAAGCCAAGGTAAGAAATGTTGCTACAGAATACAAAAGACAAAACAACATACAACAAAAATTATATTCTTCTATTGCAGATGTCAAAAGTTGAAAAGGAACTCTTTTTATAGATCATAAAACATGTATTTCTCAAGGTACCTGAGTAGCTCAGTTTGCTGGTTAAATATCTGCCTTCCACTCAGGTCATGATCCCGGGGTCCTGAGAGTCCCCACATCAGGAAGCCTGCCTCTCCCTCTCCCTCCACCCCTCTCTCCCCCTTCACTGGTGTATTCTCTTTCTCGTCCTTCAAATAAATAAAATAAAATAAAACAAAAACAAGCAAACAAAAAGACATGTATTTCTCTACCAAGTTACCTCTACTCACACACAGAATATTGTGTATAGTAGTGAAAAAGCAGACTCTAGAGCTAAATTGCTTTGATTCAATCCTGCTCTACCACTTTCTGTTGTGTAATTTTGGCAAGTTACTGGCTTCCTTATAAATAAGGAACTGACAGCACTGCTGTGAGAATAAAATCAATTAATACATGTAAAACACTCCGAATATTGACTGCACAAAGTTAGAAATGTAACAGTGAGAAGAGTGCTACCTGCTTCCTGGAAAGCTGGTCAGTATATGTCTTGATTACTCTAAGAATCTGATGAAAGACAATCAAGGCACAACAATTACACCTTTTTCTCTACTACAACATGTAATTGCATGTCAAGTCATCTTCTGCCTCTTGTATGGTTTCTGAATCTGTTTTCATCCGTTCTCACATTCTCTCTTCATTACCCTGGCATTACCCTTAATTCAGGCACTAGTGAAGTCATCCTGACTAAAGCAAAGAGTCAGGTTGACTGAGGGGACTATGTACTACTAGGAATGTCCTACAGGTATCTCAAACTCATATCCAAATTTGAATTATCTTTTCCCTCCAAATTAGCTCTTCCATTTGTATTCCTGATCGGAGTCAGTGGTACTGTGATCCACTGAGCCAATTAAGAAAGCCCAAAATGGGGATCCCTGGGTGGCGCAGCGGTTTGGCGCCTGCCTTTGGCCCAGGGCGCGATCCTGGAGACCCGGGATCGAATCCCTCGTCGGGTTCCCGGTGCATGGAGCCTGCTTCTCCCTCTGCCTGTGTCTCTGCCCCCATCTCTCTCTCTCTCTGTGTGACTATCATAAATAAATAAAAAATTAAAAAAAAATTTGAAAGAAAAAAAAAAAAAGAAAGCCCAAAATGAAGAATCATCTCCAGAAGAACCGGTCCTCTACTTCCTAGCTGGTTAATGTTACCTATCCTTCCAGACAGCTTAGGGATCATGTCCTCCAAGAAACCTTCTCTGAAGTTTTTGGCTGAGCTGAGTATATTTTTCTGGGCTTCCACAGCACCTTCAGTATACCTCTATCACAGCACTTATCACATTATAATAAAATTATCTGCTTATGTCTGTCTCCACAGCTAGGCTATAAGCCTCAAGGATGAATATGTCATTATATCCATATGCCCGATAAAGCACCTGGGGCCTAGTGGCCCTCCACTAAGCTTATAGGGACTGAAATAAAACTTCAAGCTTCCCCGCTGATACATACTCTCGTCCACCATGATTTCTAAAGTACAAATCTAATTATGTCTCCCACCTATTTAGAAAAACTTTTACAGTCTCATCCAATTCCAAGTCCACATTCCTTTTCCAGCCATAGACTTAATGTAACCTTTCCTCAACCTACCTATTTGGTCTCACAGCACACTGTGCCTTTAAGCTATTTTGATATAACACAGCATGAACAAATATTGCATAATCTTTTCTGTCCCACTCAGAGAGAATAAGTCACCCTTCATATGTGCCATTCTTTATACATACATCTACTGTAAGTTACTATACTAGATAAATTTGTTCTGTGTGTTTTGCCCTCACCTTCCAAACTGTGATCAACTTAAAGATCAAGACTAAACCTGATTCCTTCAATATATCTGCAGGTTTGGGCTTGCTTGACTAGGTGAATCACAGTGCCACTGACTCAAACTGCAAATACAGAGGAAAGAGCCAATCTGGAGGGAAAAGATAACAAATTCAAAATCAGACATGAGGGGACGCCTGGATGGCTCAGCGGTTGAGCGTCTACCTTTGACTCAGGGCATGATCTTAAGGTCTGGGATCGAGTCCCACATCAGGCTCCTGCGGAGAGCCTGCTTCTCCCTCTGCCAGTGTCTCTCTCTTTCTCTGTCTCTCGCGAATAAATAAATAAAATCTTAAAAAAAAAAAAAGTCAGACATGAGTTTGAATGCCTGTAAGACATTCCTAGCACATATTTCCCTCAGTCAGCTTGACTCTTTGCAATAAGTAAAAGGAAGACATAAGCACCAGTACCTGGTATGTACTCATTAAACGTGTGGTGTATGAGGAAGAAACCAGACATTCCACCTCCAGAAAAACAGTAAAATATAAGTCTTATTAATCGGTCACTAGCTTCATCTTCTCAAAAAGATGACAGAATAGAATGTTGTTCCAATTAAGAAGACAGAAAGAATACAAAATGAAGATCTGATTTAAGATTTTAAAGAACTATAATCCTTAAATCTTATACTTAGGGATTGTCATTCAATTAATAAAAAACACGGTAAGCTTCTGTATCATCCAAAAACCCCAACTGCGCCAAGCACTATGGAGACAGAACAAATGAACCTGCTCTCTAGAAGCCCACATCTGATGGCAGAGGAAGGGCAGCATTTAGGGAGGTCAAGGCAACTGTCTGGGCAACAGGTGGCAAGATCCTGAATTAGAGAGCAACGCTGAGAGTGCAAAGCAGGAATACTTTGCTTTAGATGGACTGACAGGATAGGACATTGTAGAGGTAGTTTCTTGATCTTTTAAACCAGCACTGGTGATAGGAGGGCAAGGCCGGGCTGACAAAATGTCTTATCTTCCATTCTTTTGCTTCCAAATAAGGTTCAAAGAAGAGTGGCAGCATGATGTGGTGGAAGGGGCACTGGACTGGGATTGAGGACACGGGAGTTCCAATCATGGCTTTACCATTTGTGACACATTTGTCACCTTGCAGGGCCACCTACTATATAACGGGCTACCCGGCCTTCAGCCATTCATCTTGTAGGAACTCCCTGAGCACCTATCATGTGCTACGCAGTGGGGATACAGAGGAGTCAAGGAAAAAATAACACCTCTTCTCTCTTAGAGCTCACAGACTAATAGGGAAATCAGACCAGACAAACAACACAGAAAATCAGACACGAACAGGTGGTTATGAGAGGAAAGAAGGCCTGGATTCAGACTGGGAAACTGTCCCCTCCAATTCCGACTCTCTAGACTTGGCAAAGTACAAGCGGCGGAGGAGCTTGGACTCCAGACTCAGAACCCCTGCGTTCAAACCCTGGCTCCGCCACTACCAACTGTCACCTCGGGCAAATCACTTAACCTCTCACCTTCCTCCTCTGTCAGCTAGGATTAACAAGAGTTCTTGCTTCATAGGATTGTTGTGCTTGGCATGAGTGAAGTACTGGGGCAGGGGTAACCGCTGAGCGTCTGCAACCAATACTGTGTCATCATCAATCATTTCCAATCACGCTTCTGGCTCCCAGCGTCCAGGCTTACCGCTTGCTCATTCCTCATCCCCACATATCTGATGCCCAGCTTCTGCGCCGCAACGGCGATTTCGGTCACTGGGATGCCCACGATGCCAAACACGTACTCCACATCCTGGGGGTCAGGAACAGGGGAGTAAACGCCGCCCCCCGCACCCCCCGCCCCGGCCCATCGTCCCCTCCCGCGGCGCCAGAAGGGAAGCCTCAGGGCAAACCTCCCGCGTCCCACCACGGCGTTCTCGCCGTCCGCCGCCACCGCTCCGCCCCCTCCCGGCTTCCGTAGGAGCCTTTCGCGGCAGCAGAGTCGCCGTACTTGGGTTTTCAGGGCCTGGGCGATGACTTCAGCACCAGAAACCTTCTCCTCGCTCCCGTCGCTACGCTCGGCGAAGGCGCTCTCCGCCATCTTCCACCTCAAAGAGTTCGAGGTACTCGCGGAGGCAGCAGGCAGCAGACGCGGAGCGACCCAGCCAAACAGAGGAGGCGGCCACGCGCCAATCGTGGGACCCGGTCCTGTGACTGACAGGGGGAAGGCGACCAACCGCTTGAAATAGCGGACGGAAGAGGCGGGGCTTAAGGTCGTCGGCTCGCAGGATGAGGCGGGCAGGTAAACACGCTCCTTCTCCAATCAGAGCCGTGCGCTTTCCCCGGCTCCTCCATTCGCCGGCGCAGAGCGTCAGGAGGAGGCAGGCCTAGCAATAGGCGGCGGCCTATGCCGAGCAGGTGAGACGCCGAACCTTGGGGGCCTCTCGCCTCCCCCGCCCCCGCCCGATTACTTTCTGGAGCCTTCGGGGCCCGCGGAGGCGAATGGCGCATGCGCATAGTGGGGGCAGCAGGAGGGCTAGGAGCACGTGCGGAAGGGGGCGTGGCGGGGTGTGCGTCCCCCCCCCCCCCGACCCCGCCGTGCTCTAGGGGCTGAGGGCCGGCTCGCAAAGGCTGCTGGGACCGGGGTGGGCTGAGCCGAGCCCTAGGGCGGTGCAGACTTGTAGGGTCGCGTCGTGGTTCTGGGCTGCTTGTGTCCTAGGCATTTGTTACGTGCTTTTTTGTTTGTACACAATTTTGTAACTTTAAAGAAGTTTCATCCGAGGGGGGCGTTCGACGGAATGAGCACTGGGCGTTATGCTATATGTTGGCAAATTGCACTCCAATAAAAAAATAATAATACAATTTTTTAAAAAGTTTCACAACTGTGCAGTTCGTGAAACATGGTAATGAACAGCTACGCGTTAATTAAATTCGTACATGGATGTGTCTGCGGTGTCTCTCCCAGTGGTAGAAATAAGGACACTGAATTTTACAAGCCAGAGACAGAAAGTAACTGATCACCCCATTTCTCCGATTCCCGAACTTGTACTCTCCTCACTCTTCAGCTCTTAGGCTAGAAGGGACAAGGAAGGAACCCTTGAACCTAGTTACTTTTGCAGGACTTGAGCTCCCAACCCTGAGGTCAAGACCTGAGCTGCAGTCAACACCCAGGTACCCCTGAACGTGGTTGCTTCTGACCATTGTTTCCTCTAACTTTGTTTCCTCCGACCATTGTTTCCTCTTCCTCTCCATTCTCTGTCCATTTTTGTCTTTCCCAAATCAGGAAAGGTGGGATTTCATAATTCTTAGAGTTAGGTTCTGTTGACCAGCCCCTGTAGCTGATAATCTTTTATTTTTTTGATTATTTTATTTTTTTATAATCTTTTAAAACACATTTTTGAGGCGCGCTGGGGCGGCTCAAAAAAAAAACTTGCACTTTTGAGCAGAAAAAGATGCTTGTAATGTGCAACTTCTGTAATGTGCAAAAACTTGCACTTTTGAGCAGAAAAAGATGCTTGTAATGTGCAATGTGGCCTCTGAGTTCTTAAATCTGAGTTCTTAAACTTGTTATCTCCATAACAAAGAGGGACTAAATTTTTGAGGATTTCGAGTGTTTTAAAGCAAGGAGAAAAGTAATATGTGGAAGGTAAAGAGGAGAGGGGAGTGGATCATGGATAGAGAAATGAATGAAAAGTATTGGAAAGTGAAAGGATTTCTAAACCCGAGACTTTCCACAGTCCTGGGCCCTTCCAAAAGGTCTTCCTTTCAGCGTTTCAAGCCCTAACCTCCCACCCTATACAGAAGAGAATGAAATAGTTGCATTTCTGGATGCAGAGACCTGGCCTCCATAAGGTATCCCATCAAATAGATTTCTTTGATGTCTCAGAGTTCTTTTAAACATAAATGCAGATCTTGCATTCCACTCCAAAGTATATCTGTATCTAATATAAATTTTAGTATCTTTTTATGAGATAAAATAAACATACAATTAAATGTACAGATCTTAAATGTTAAATAAGTTTTGACAGTTGTATACACCTATGTAATCACCACCCAAAATAAAAATGACATTTTAAACTCCCTGTCAAGTGAAATTGACATTCCAGAAATATGCAAAATGTTCTTTGTGTGGCTTTGAGTAGTCCTGTTCTTTGTCTCCTTCAGGCTGTTTCAGAAGCAAGGACCCCACTCTTCTCTATCATGTAGTATTGTTTATATCAGTACCTATGTGATAGTCTCTACTCCCATTGCATCAGAATCACTTGGAAAGCTTTTCATTTTTTTATTTTATTTTTTTTCAGAATTCATTTTGTCATTTTCTTTTAAATATTTTATTTATTTATTCATGAGAGACACAGAGAGAGAGAGAGGCAGAGACACAGGCAGAGGGAGAAGCAGGCTCCATACAGGGAACCTGATGTGGGACTGGATCCTAGGTCTTCAGGGTCATGCACTGGGCTAAAGGAGGCACTAAACTACTGAGCCACCTGGAAAGCTTTTTAAAAATACAGTTGCTTGGGCCCCACACCATATTTTCTGAATCAATGTGTTAGGACAAGTTAGGCACCCGTATTTTTTTAAAGCTGCTACATAGGGATCCCTGGGTGGCGCAGCGGTTTGGCGCCTGCCTTTGGCCCAGGGCGCGATCCTGGAGACCCGGGATCGAATCCCACGTCAGGCTCCTGGTGCATGGAGCCTGCTTCTCCCTCTGCCTGTGTCTCTGCCTCTCTCTCTCTCTGTATGACTATCGTAAATAAATAAATAAAAAAAAAAAAAAAAAAAGCTGCTACATAGTTTTGATTTACACTCCGATTTGGAACCACTAGCTCTGTACTCCTGCTAGGGGCATCTGTTAACCATTAAATGTGTGATTGCCTGTTACCAGAGCAATACCGTTGATTAGTTTGGATTTACAGGTTCAAAGCTGGTTTGACATTGGCAGCAAAGACTGTGTAGATGGTTAGTTCATGGGCCTTGTATCTCCTTTTGTGTCAAGAGTCACAGACAAAAGCAGTCTATATAAAGTGTGGTGAAAACCGTACAGTGGGGATCCCTGGGTGGCTCAGCGGTTCAGTGCCTGCCTTTGGCCCAGGGCATGATCCTGGGTTCCTGGGATTGGGTCCGCGTTGGGCTTCTGGCATGGAGCCTGCTTCTCCTTCTGCCTGTGCCTCTGCCCACCCCCTCTCTCTTTCTATGTCTATCATGAATAAATAAATTAAATCTTAAAAAAATTGTACAATGAATTAGAACAAACTCCCTGAATTCATGATAACTGGGTTGCAAAGAGGATACCTTATCAACTGACTGGATTTTGTCCTTTAGCAAAGGGAAAAGTCAATGAGACTGTTTAAATTTGCTTTCACCTTTATATCTTTGGTTCAGGGTGCAACATTCCACTGTTCACTTGGTCTGATGATTGAGCAGAAGTGATGATGGTCCTCATCCCCAGGATCAGCAGGCACTGGGAGCAGCTGTGATTATAGAATTCTTCTGTGATTTATCCAAGGCCCTTCCATGCAGACTTTGTAAGCATTAACCACATTCTTAATACTTTCATTGATGGTAGACATGGAATTTTATTCGTTGGATGTTCTATTGGATTTTTTTTTGTTTGCTTTTGTTTGTCTATACATGGAAGGAGGTCAAAGAAGGAATAAGTCTTAATTTTTTTAAAAGAAAAGACTAACATAATGATAATATGCTCTCTAAACAGCGGAGCCAATCATCAAAGTAGAGTAATCTGAGTCTATTGGGAGGAACAAGGAGAGAGTTAGCATCCCCTTTATTAGGAATGATCTCTATTTCCTCCAGCAACCTGGGTTTCTTTGAAGGAGGCCTGTTTAGACAATCACCCAGTATATCAGAGGGGGGTTATCAGCCTGGTTTGTGGTCAGACACATTCTGCAAGAGGTTCTTAGATCAGGGTTCTGAATTAGGGCCATAAGGTACCTCAGTTCATTTACCCTGTTTCCTGCAGAAGAGATCTGATAGATCATATTGAGGTCATGCAGTGTTACAAAAGAAGATCAATTCTTTCTTAAAATTTGTAATTCAAATTTTTTCAGTGCATTAGAAGGTATGCCAAGGGAGAGTCCTTGGGAACCAAAGAAGCCTAGAGAAAGTCCATTATCAAAAATTGCTCCCAGCTCCTGGGTGATGTCCCACACAGAATATGTTGGAGGTGGTGGGTGTCCAGTGACCAGAGGCATCCCTTGAATAAAATCACAATTGATCAGCATCTCTGCTATAAGGGGCCCATAGGAGGGACTGCCTGTGTCCCCTCTTCCCTGTTTCATTCTAGAGTACAAATGGGTGGCAGTGAATGGATCGAAATACCATGCACTGTGGTGTGAAGAACCTGCCATTTCTAACCCATAGAATACACCAGAAAAGTTTTACAAGGGGAAATTACCCAATTTAGTAACTTAAGCAGTCAGCAGGGTACATTGATGAAAAATAGTAAAGATAGATATCCATCATGATTTAAGCAATATTCCAACACATGCAGTCCTTACAGTTGACTTCCCTAGGAAATGGTCCCGAGTTGAGTTTCAGTTCAATCAGGTACTGGTTTCAGGCCGGCTCTAAGTGGAGGTTTTGTGCCCAGAAGCAGCTAGACCCGAGATGTGAAGGGGATCACATTAGACCAATGAGGAGGAAACCCCACAAGGGAGTCTTAAGAGGGCAGGTGTCCTAGTGACTTAGCTGGCTGTCCCGTGCCCAAGACAGCATTATATAAAGACAGGAAGAAAGGGCATCAAGTTTCTGGGTCTTAGACCATTCTGGCCGGGGTTCTAATTTCCAGCCAAAAGGCAGGCTTTTCCCTCCCAATAGAGTAGCCAGGGCTAGAAGATTGCAGCCTGAGCAATCAATATGAAAGTGTTTGAATAAAAGTAGACTCCTTGAAGAGGCCCTGAAATGAAAGTAAAGGAAAGAGAAGAGGAATTACTCATCAAGTTTGCACTGAGCTTCAGAGTCCAGATGAAAAGGCTTGAGCCCCATGCCAGGTGCCAAAATGATGAAATTTCAAAGAATTTTGGGCTTGAGAGCAAATGGCTAAGAATTCTTGAGACTTTTTGATGCAAAAAAGGGATTTTATTATAGCATGGGGGACAGAACCCATGGCTGAAAGAGCTGCACCAGGATTGTGAGGAGTAACTGATTATATACTTTTAAATTTGTGGAGGGAGGGGATAGAAATAAAGTAAGTTTCTAAGGAATTTTGAAGTAAGGTTTTTAGGATGTTGGGGGGCTAGCTGCTGTTAAAACAAGGTTACTTTTAGTCATTTTTTTTTTTTTTTACGATTTTGTTTATTTATTCATGAGAGACACAGAGAGAGAGAGAGGCAGAGAGAGACACAGGCTGAGGGAGATGCAGGGAGCCTGATGTGGGACTCAGTCCTGGGTCTGCAGGATCACACCCTGGGCTGAAGGTGGCGCTAAACCACTGAACCACCTGGGCGCCCACTTTTAGTCTTTAATAAAACATAAACATTAAGGCATCCATGAGTTCCTTGAGGAGTGTCCCACTCTGCATGTTTCAGGGATCTGTCAATGGGCTGCAACCTGTAAGGAGATTTAATTTAGCTACATTTCTCTTGCCTTTGTTCTCCTCATCAGCTTTTTTTTTTTTTTTTTTAAGATTTTGTTTATTCATTAGAGACACAGAGGCAGAGACATAGGCAGAGAGAAGCAGGCTCCTTGTGGGGAGCCTGATGCAGGACTGAATCCCAGGACCCCTGAATCACCCTCTGAGCCAAAGGCAGATATGCTCAACCACTAAGCCACCCAGGTGCCCCTCCTCCTCAGCTTCTAAATTTAATAGTAACTCCTTAGGCCCTCAAATTATGATACTATGTTTTAATTTCAGTAAACTAACAAGGACATTAAAAATCCTTGTGATTAGGAACACCTGGCTGGCTCAGCAGTTGAGCGTCTGTTTGTCTTTCGCTCAGCGCGTGATCCCACGGTCCTGGGATCAAGTTCCACATCGGGGTCCTTGCATGGAGCCTGCTTCTCCCTCTGCCTACGCCTCTGCCTCTCTCTCTGTGTCTTTCATGAATAAATAAATAAAATCTTAGAAAAAAATCCTTGTGATTATTTGAAGATGGTAACACGAGTGAGAAATTATCTCAAAAACGTATTTTATCAAGATATAAAGTGTGGTTATCAAATGAAGAAATGTTTTATTAAGGTTATTTGTGATATATTATAGAACACCTGAAAAGAAAAGAAAATTGGCTGAAATAAGAGAAAACTGAAACCAAATATCTTAAATACCAACAAAAAGCAAGCAACAATAACAAAAAAAAAAAAAAGGAAATCTATGTAGAATACTATATTGAAAACCAATATTGAAAACTGTACAGTGGGGAATGTGCTGTAAGAAATACATTACCATAAACTGAAGAAAATAAAACATATGATGAAATGGTTCTCTGAATAAAATAGGTTAAATTGATTTTGTTTGCTTCTCATTAAATTTATGGACTGCAAAGTATCAAAGCTCGGAAATAGACTTGAAGCACAACCATTGAAAAGCAGTTTTATTGTTGAAGTGTTAGGGTCAGATTTTATGCCTATTAGCAGAGGACTGGCACTGGGAGTTTTTCCCAGTTGTCCTGAAAAAGGTTGGATTTCTGCCCTTGGCTTGGACAGGCCAGAGCCTTTGCTCTACATTGAATGCCAGCCAGACCCAGGACTGGATTGGGAGGTACCCTGGAGCAGGATGGAAACTGAAGAAACATTGTTTCCCTCTTTTATCTTTGTCCTCCTCCATTGTATGCTTGGTGGTTTTTTGTTTTTTAATTGAAATTTGGGGTAGTTTGATACCAGCAATCATTAAATCACTAACAGACATGTTTACTTCAGGTCAGGTGTGCCAGAAATGGTGACAGCTGTATGTCACTCTAAGAGGACACAAGAGATTTAACCTGAAATGGCTTGGAAACCGTAATCTAGTATTTCTCAGTAGGATGCAACTCCACACTGGGGGTAGCCCACACTTAGGGGTGGCCCATGGAGTAGGAGGGCAGCAACTCTCGCTTATGAAACATGGTACCAGTAGTTAAATGTTTGTCTTCATTTTTCTTCCATTTTGCTATTCTCCTTCATCATAGCTCTTTCCTTTAGCTTTTTAAATTGTACTGTATTGGGGGTTTTGTTTCTGTTGTTTGCTTTTCATCTGTTCTCTTGTCAGCAAAACAAAGAATCCACTCTAAGGCAGAATCTCTGGATGATTCCCAGGGTTCAGAGTTGAACTGCTGGAGTGTAACCCAGGGGAGGGACAGCTTCGAGATGAAGAGCTTAAGCTCTTAAACTTCTTTCTGTATCATAATCTTTGAGTTCTTTTTGGGAACTTACCTGTGATTTATTGTTTTACTCACTTCAACATTTGTTTATATTTAACATTTATGACATCTTTCAGACACAAGATTAGGAACAGGGATTGATCCATGCACATGTACCCAGCCCCTAGCTTAAGAAATACAATGAAGTGTGGTGTCTGGGTGGCTCAGTTGGTTGAACATCTGCCTTCCGCTCAGGTCATGATCCAGAGTCCTGAGATTGAGCCCCATATTGGGAATCCCTGCTCAGCGGGGAGTCTGCCTCTCCCTCTGCCTCCTGCTCCCCCTGCTTGTGCTCCACCCCCCTTCTCTCAAATAAGTAAAATTTAAAAAAAAAATGCAGTGAAGCTCCCTGTGTACCCTCCCCCATTGCATTTTCCCCGTGCCATAGAGGTAACCACTATCTTGAATTTGCTGTTTATAATTCCCATGTTAACCCTTCTTTAGAGGATGGACATTTAGGTTGTCTTAACTTTTCAGTGTTATAAACAGTTGTCTCTAAACATTCATGCATGTGTCCTCATGCGCATGTATGAGTTTTTATGTATGGTGGCTTGGGGTGGGTGATCATCAGGGTTGCTAGATACTGCTAAACTGGTCTCCAAAGTTATTATACCGATTGATAGTCCCACCTTCTGTATGTAAGAACTCCCCTTTCTCCACATCCTCAGTTGTGAAATTTGTAATTTTTTGCCAATCTAAATGGATGAGAAATGCCTTCTCATTTCCATTTCCCTGACTATTCCATGAAGATATAGATAGATATAGATATGCCATTTGGTTTCCATATTGTCAATTTCCTGTTTTATCTCTTTTGCCCATTTCTTTATTGGATTATCTTTTTTTATTTGTAGATATTCTTTTTATATTCTGAATATTTCTTTGTCTTTTAACTTAGCTTATAGTTACTTTTGAGGTACCAAGTTGTGGTCTTTTGGTGTGTGGTCACATTTGACAATTCTTTTCCTTTCTGTTTTATATTCTTGGTATGTTAAGAAAACTTTCCCTAACCAGGGTGAGATTTTTTTTTTCTATATTTTTATCAAAAAGTTTAGTTTTTTTTTATATTTAAGTGTCTAGTCTACCTGGAATTGATTTCTACACGTGATGGGAGGTATCAATCCAAGGGTTTTTCCCATATAATATCTATAGCAATTAGATTTGCTATGTAATTAACG